CAGTCATTTTTATGGGCTGCCATTATTTATGTTTATCATATATTCGACATATTTATTTGCTGCTGAAAACGTAAACTGAATTAAAAACAAAAGATTTCTGTACATGCTTGGGGGCATATCTGTGGAAATCAACCGCCAAATATACCCCTGGGAAGTGTATTTATCAGCGAATAAAATCGACATACCGTGTAGGCGATTTCTCATATTTGGCTCGTTTCAGTTTGAGTTTTTTTTTTCTCAGCGCGAACGACTTTATGACAAGCATTGCCCCCTGCTTTTCGGCTTGATTTTTGTGTCTCTGTGTGTGTGTGTGTCTTTTATCACCTTATCAGCAACAAATATTTGCATAAATTTGCGACATTTTTGCTGGCTTCTAACGCAGACTTCCCACGCATTTCAAGCTTGTCTAATGTAGCACAAAAAATGTATACAAATATTCCCCCATGCCCCATTGATAGCACTCGAAAGTTATGTTAATTAAATTATCAAATTATCAAAAGGTAAAACTCAGTTTTCCAACTCAAAATGGAATTTACATGCGGCACTTTTTGGAACTTATTTAATTACAAACTTTTTTTTGAACGCTCTAAATGTGCATGAAAATTGTCGGCTGCAAAGAGTTGAGTTGGAAATGGATGCCAAATGAAAGTTTCCAGCCAAAAGTTCACCGTAAGCAAATGTGTTTATAGAACCATTCTGCCCATGCCCACACAACCCACGCACACTCCACTCCTCTGCCAGCTATTAAAGATTATTAAAAGCTCCTTGATCTCTGGAGAAGGTGCTCGCTGGCAGTGTCTGCTGTCTCTCTGTGCTCTGGCACGCACGCAGCCAAACTTATTGATCCATAAAAAGTGTACAAAAAAAAACATGAGCATTGTTAGTATTTGTGTGTGTGTCTTTTGACCTTTGCCAAGGTTGTGGCTGCCTAACCCTATGCAGCTGCACGGCTCCAGGGGCAATTAGGTTGCATTCCAAAGTCTTTCAGTGGTGGAGAGGAGAAATCAAGTCAAAACATGAATCGAAGATTACCCAACGGCAGAAGATGAATTCGTTTATGATTGCAGGGCAAATCTCTTCATCAGTGGCCAGGCCCTATCAATATTTTATCTACTTTTGCCATAATGATGCCCATCATCTGCTCTTTGTGTATTCATTTATGCATTTTATTGGCTCTTGGCTAACCTGCAGAGCACCCTCAGCCATCAATCATCTCCATCCACTTTGGCCTTTTATTTTGTGCTTATATTTATTTAGATTTATATTTTTTGGGAGCTTCCAATGTCTAAAGAGGTCCATCTGCTGTCTGCCTGTGTCCTGGTTGAGTCGTTTTGCAAATGTTTTAATCAATTATGCAAATCGTTGCCACTGAGCCATTATTTATGCGATTTACCCAAACATTTCAAATGTGTATGCATATTGATGATGTGAGAAATGAGGCGTGATGGACTCGCACTGAGCCAGTAATCAGGTGGAAAGCTGAGGCACAACATTAATCAGCTAAGCGGAAGTATCTGCCCACTCATGCAATTGTAAAATGTGACTGTACATGCGAGTATCTTGAGGTACGAGTACCCGTTCTTGGATCCCCAAACGCAAACAGACCGCAGATAAGAAACCCGCCCAGAACCCTATGTCTATGTGGCAAAGGCAAATACTAACCAGCAATGTGTTCCGCACGTCCTTATGGGCATATCTGTCTGCTCAGGTCGTAAGATTTTAATGAATGAAATTCCACTTTGGCTGGCTGGTTGTCTCTCTCTCGTTTTGTTTAAACTTTAGCAGCTGTTGGCATGGAATTTCTTTTGGGCTGCCTTCTTTTGTTTTCCTTCACTTGGTAGGTAATCAATTTTGAACGCAATTGCAGCATTTTGCACTGTGGAACAGGCCTATTTCGCGCTCTTCTTGTTTACACTTGAATAGGTAGATAGATAGATATTTTTGTATACCATTCGGTGGGTTTATGGCCAAATATAGCCGTAATTTAACTGGTTTATTTGTATCTTCGGCGAACGCCCGCGCGCGCGTGTTCATGTGGCGCTGCCCACGCGGCCATAGAGGATCTGGGCAACGTCTTCTCGTTTCTCGTTTCTCGTTTCTCGAATTTTCAATTGTAAACTTCGCAGAAAAAGGCAACACACAAACGGCTAAAGATAGCGATAAAATATCTGTATTGTTATCGCGTTACCCATACGAAACTCCGCAACGATCGCGCTCTGTACCGCTGAAGTGTTCAGCACGTATTAATTTCTCTGTTTGTATCCGAAAGATACATTCCATTCCGTTCGGTCGCGCACAAGCGCATATGTGGGCAACTTCGCTCTGCCAGCGTCGGCCCAACTTGTTTGACAGAAAGAAAAAAGAAAAAACATCACACAAACAAGAGAAAAACGAGAGCAGGGAGAGCCCCGTCGTTTGGTTTAAATTTACATTGCTGTAAACCTGAGCAGGGCATGATGTGGACGATGATGATGATGATCGTTATGGGTCAACGTCATGGACGGGAAAGGGAAAGAGAAATGGGGAGCTGTAGACAGAGCGTAGAACGTAATGAAAAGCGACAAATTGTTGTCTCAAGTAGACTGAGTCTCAGGTCTCCTCTTAGCAGCATCTCTGTGCTGAGTTCCCTGACATCTGACAGCAGCATTTCGCTTTTCCTATGCAGATTTATTTGCTGGCACTGATTAGATTCCGCTTAGAGAGCTGAACTGAGCTCAGCCAGAGCGGAAATTGCTGTAGCTGTAAAACGTTGTTTTTGGCCCAGGTCTCTTGACTGATTCCAATGCAAATTATAGCTCATCGAAACTAAAACTGAAAACTGGCTGGCTGTCGATTGAGGTCAGCGCAGAGTATCTGCAGCTTTGATTTGTCTGGCATTATGGCAGGCAAGAACTCTCATTAACTTCCGGCTCACAAATGCTGCCGCCGGAAATTGCTCTTGCAAATCAAATGGTTACGCATTTTGGTGGTCAGTTCTGTATGGCACACAGATCATTTCATTCCATTGTTCAGAGCTGCTTTCTCTTAGCTCTGGTCCAATAAATATTGACTGCCCCAACACCTACGGTTTGCCCTCGAACGCCTTGGGTGGCTGCTACACCTCAACCTCAACCTCAACCTAAACCATAATGATGGCTAATTATATGTGGGTTAAGTTTGTGTGTTCCAAAAGCATTTTCATTAGTTTCAGGCCATAATTATATCATCATTTTAATTGGATGCGGCCGCACAACAGAGATTAATTGCGTAGCAGCTAGAGGGAAAAAAGTCAGCACCTGCTCGCATGTTGGTACGAGCCCAAGAAGACGAGCAGCTTTGGTCAGCATGCAGATATTCCCTTTGCAGAATCTTCAATTCAATTATGAGTAACGGGGGCCAGCAAGCTCTAAGCACGGTTTGGTAGTGCCACTGCCACTGCGGGGCCTTTGCCTTGAGCAGCTCTCTTGAGAGCTCAAAGTCTCCTCCTCAAGACATTTATAAATTAGCTGCAATTTGTAACTGCTGCTGGCAGGGCTCAGCTGGCTGCCTCTGCCCCCATGCTCTTCTTTCATTAGATCAAAATTAGCAGCGTCACGTGATCAGAGGAAGTCAAAGGGGGAAAACTCAAAGCAACTCAAAACGGAACTCGCACCAAATGCTGCTGCTTGGGTCGCACATAAATTTCTCAATATCTGTGTATCTTCTCTGCTTCTGCTTCTGCCTCTGAGGAGCCACACACTCTCATCGCATCACTTGAAATTAATTTTGTGTGTGTTTTTGTGTGGCTATTGATAGGCCACGCCGCTTCTGTGTTTTTGTTTGCTTTGTCTTTTGTGAGGGATTGCCAGACGCCAGACTGTGGTTTTCCCTTCTGCATGCTGCATTCTGCATTCTGCATTCAACATTTATATTTTTAGCCAGATCTGGAAAGTGGGGCTTTGCGTGTCGCACGCCACACACTTCGCCACACCGAAAATATTCATTCAAACTCGTCTTCGCGGCGCGGCACAAAAGTGTCAAAGAAAAAGTAGAAAAAAAGAGCGTTTGAATATTTGATTTATTACTATTTATGCCACAATTGCCAGAGGCTATGGCAAAAGCCACATCTTGTTTGCTAAAAATCCACTCAAATCAGTTGGAAAAATTATGCAAAAGGCAAGACAAAGCAGAGAAATATTGGGGGGGAATAATTAACGGGAAGAGTGAAAGTTTTCTTTAATCAATTGCATTCCAATTGGATTCCTTCACTTGTGCAACATTTGCTCGTTTGCTCATTTGCCTGCCCAATGTCGCCCCATGGCCACACACACACACACACAGTCACGCAGCGGGGCATGCCACATGGCACACTTAACCATAAATACTCGAATTTCCATTGCAGGCAGAGCCACTCGAGCACTGAGGGAGAGGTAGAACCTCCCCCCACACCCAATTTGCAGCGTTTCAATTAGCAGACACCTTCTCGGAACGGAACGAATCCGGCCAGCAAAGGAGGCAAGGGGAGTCCGTGGGGAGGCTGGGGTAAAGAAACAAAAAAAAAAAAAGGAAAAACTGCTGGCCAATATCCTGGCGGAAATTAATGCTGCTGTGGCAAGCACAATGGCCGGCCAGAGGCAGAGCGGGGGCATGGGGGGAAAACCGAAACGGAAAAAATGGAATGCCACAAAACCAATACGAGAGGCATAGGGACAGGGGCAGGGGCAGGGGCAGGGCCAGAGACTGCAGATGGATGCCGGACTATTCGCTGTTGTCAGCATTTCCTCTTCACCGACTGTTCGCTTCGACGGATAAAGGATACACAGAGCAGGCCAGGAGGGAGGGCTGAGACCGCCGTGCCACAGTCATTTCCAGGCATATTGAACACACATCGGATATGCAGCAACGCAGGGATTGGGTAGGGCAGGCTAGAGGGACGCCGCATAATCGCTATCAATTATATTGTTCATGCCGTAGATATTGTTTTGCCACACAGAACAGACCCTACAGGATGAAGGTGGAAACAGGAATGGACTGCGACTTACCTTGCCATCGGCATCGGCATGGGCATGATATCGAACCTCCAGTGAGCCGCCCAGCACCGCATACCAGAAGCGTCCCTGTTCGCCGGCGCGAAAAACTGCAAGAAAAAGTGTGGGATAAAGAAGGGAACACGCTTAATCCAAGCTGCAGGCTAGTACTACTTACGGGTAACGCCCTTCTCCAAGTCCTCGTAGAAGCCGCACATGGCCAATTGCTGCAGGGCCGAGCCGGGCAGGCGACACAGCGGCTCCACGCGACGCAAGCGGCACGAGATTAGCTCCACATCACGCAAGTTTCGATCGCAAGGACTGCAAGTGCAAGTAAGTAAAACCAAGTTAAAATTGAATAATGCAGAGAAAGTCCCCCCCCCCCGAGAGAGACGGAGTCAAGTTCCCAGCTGTGCCCAACAATGGCAGCCTAATCGACCCAAAAGGGAGATTCAAAACGTAAATTCTAGACGAGTATTTTCCCTTTTATAATTCACTCTGTCCCTATGCCAAGCACTGCGCTTGGATTTGTTCTTGAACCATAAAAAAGAGATGAAGAAAAGAAAAGAACCCTAAAGAGGGTTGGGACGTTGGGCAGTGGTCCAACAATAAACTGAAATTAAAAATTCCAACAACATTTGTGTATGGTTTTGGGCACGAATTAAATATGCAAATGCCGCCACAGCTTCCCTCTCTCTGTGTGTTCTCTTTCTGTTTCTGTCGATTGAAAAATGCATAAATAAATATGAGAGTGTCCGTGTCCGGGAGTCGGGTCTAGCCGGAAACGGAAGCCGGTCAAGGCACAACAAAAAATCCATATAAAAAGTTCAAACTGAACAAGGGCAAACGAGAAAGGAAAATAAGCAAAGAAAAGCCCAGCCAGCATCCAGAATCGCGCTGGAGCGCGAAATTGCAGTCAAGTTTATTTTCCAGTAAAGGCAAACTGGAGCTAATTATGGCAAATAAATTAGTACAAGACTTTCACTAGATTGAAAATATATTCTGGCTAAAAGTGTGGCAGTTATTTGTCAGCTGAAATATGACTTGAAATTATGGAGGAGAATTGTATGCAACTATCAGGTTTGCCAAACAGTTTTGCTTCTTTCCCTCTTCTGCATTTATCTCTAATTAAATATTTTCTTTGTCAAAAATGAGAACAAATAAACGCTCAACCCTTGGGCCATTGGGTTAACTTCTGCGCACTTTTACGCGTATTATTTATAAGCTATTTTTCTATGACTTCCGAAGGAGTATTTGCAATCTCCGGTTGACCTTAACATGCCCATTACATTACATTACATTGCATTCCCTTTTTCTACTCTCTCTGGCATATCGAACCAAGATGAAGCATCATTCTGGACTACAACAAAAAGGGGCGCCCGTGTCGAAGCTCTCTGCTGTCTGCCTGCCGAGCTGCAGTCTAATTAAAAATTCCATAAAACTGTGAGAGGAATTGGCTCAAGTACGGACAGACGTGGGCGCGTTGGGGCTTTCCTCATGCACATCAAAAATAAAACATAAGTCGTCCTGCGTTCTGCGTCCTGCGTCCTGCGCTGGGGCATCATCTGCAACGAGTTGGCCACTTTTGGCTGCCTGTGCAAAGGTGGCAGCGACTCATACATAATTCATTCGCCAGCAGAGACGGCAGGAGCAGCACAAACAAGAACAAGGCAAATGCCTCCGTTTCATGGGGGTCTGTCGTTAACCAAACAGTCCCCGTCATGGTCCTAAGTGCCTCAGGCAGAGTCAGCGCCAGCAACAAAACCAAAACAGAGTAGAACCGTTTGCCGGAAGCGCGTTGGTGCGCAGCCTAGGCTTCGCCTCTCCCTCGGTTGTTTATTATAATGGTTTTAGCGGTTTTTGGGCACACGCCTCCCAGAAAGTTTAGTTTGTTGGGCAATGTTGTAATTGCCGCCGCAGCAGCGCCAACACAGCACGACACAGTCACAGAAAGATTTATCAGTCTTTAAAGCCTTTGCATATTCTATTCTTGCTGTTTAAGGACTCGTAACTCGTATCTTTGCTGCCTGCCTGGCGGCCACACGGCTACACGTGGCGCATGATAAATGTGTGAGCTGGGCACTTGTGAGTAAGACGACTTCTTGCCAGGCATTTCCCGCCATCCCGCCCATGTGTCCCCATCAATATCAATTGCCGTCTGGCAGTGCCACTTAACTCTGTCTCCGTCTGTGTCCTTGCTCCCATCCTGCAGGTGTGCCTAAGCCCAGATCGCTCTTGATAATCCGAATTACCAGAGCACCCCGAAAGACATCAAGACGCTCGCTGCGTGACTCTCACTTTTTGCTGAGCTGCTGCTGCCATTAATTTTGTCTAAATTAAATCATTTATTACCCGAGTGCATTAGGCGCAAGTCACTGACTAAATTGCAAAAGCAATTCCAGATGGAAGCCTGTCTCTGTCCGATTATAAATTCAGCTGCAAATATTTGCTCCAGGCACAGTTCAAACAAATCTGCTCAAAGCCTTTGCCACTTGACCTTTCCTTTCATTTTTTCGTTGTTTTTAGCTTTAACACCCCATCCCCTGGTTAAAGTGTAGGCTGGGGGAGGAGTCATATGAGTGGGATAAATGCTACCGATCCCTGCCAGAATGTGGGCGAAACGTTTAGGCGTTGACAGAGCATGAAATTCATAGGAGATTGCCACTGCTCCACTGTGATTGATGGTGTATGTGTGTGTGTGTGTGTGTGTGTGGGCGGGTACACGCCCCTCTACGGGCTGGACATCAGCCATGAAATGTAATGCCGGAATAGGCAGCAGGGAGGTTGGCAGGGAGAAGGCTATAATAATGGCACTCGGACAAGTGATTCTCGAATTGAAACTCAAACAAATTGCATCAAGTGGAGGGGCTGCTCCTTTAATTGCGGAGCATTTTACGCTTTACAAAAAAGGACGAAAGGCAGCAGCAGGAGGGGAGTCACCCTGTTTAGCTACTAGATTTCAAGTCGCTGTCGCTTATTGACGATAATTGCATTTAAAGTGACAACTCAACGCTTCGAAAAGGGATTGGGCAATGGGCACCCGAATTGTGATTTGATAAAGCGAATAATTCGTGGCATGCTGCTGTGTCCAGCTGCTGTTCTTTCTGACAAACGAATGTCGAGGCAGCATGACGAGTGAGCATTTAAAATTGTTTCATTTCATTTTTGGATTTTCCTCCCCCCATGTTCTCTCTCGTTTTGCTTCTTGTTTTTTCTGTCGAGCTTTTCATTGCACGTACTGTGTACATGTCCTACATGCTTGTGTGTGTGTGTGTGTGTGTCCTTGCCTCAGCAAACAAGGAGCGAGCAAAAGGCAGAGGGAAGAACTCGTGCACTCAAGCATCAAATCTGTTGAAAAATGTAGCAAAATTTTGCTGCAAAAGTTTCTATTTAAGTTGTGAAAATGTTTTCAGTTTCCATTAAAGAAAAGTTTGCTTTGATTCGATAATTGTAATTGGGAGTTTTTCCAAATGGATCTGTCTTAATTATGCCGCGAAAAGAGAGGGAGAAATCTCTAATGCGCAAATGGAAAATCATTTAAAAGGTAGCTAAAGTTCTTGCCTAATTTGATTACCAAATTTCTATGGAATTTTGTGATAATACTCCCATAATTAATGCATAATTCCGCAGCTGCTTTTTGCCATTCTACTCACCGTTTGTCCATTGCGGTTATCCATTCCATTGCCATTTTCGAACAATTTTAATTACGTTCCGTTCGATGTGCGCAGAGTTTTTAATTTATTTGTTTTTCGAGTGTTTTAATCGGGCATTCCATAAATGGTGGAGCCAAAACCGAATCGATGGGGCGGAAATTATGTTGAGGTGCTGGCAAAACGAAATCAAAATACCGGAAAATGGTGGCCCCCGTTCTGCCTTTGTGGCTGCCTTCAATTTGCGATTCCCTTTGAATGCTGCATGCCACAGATAGTGCGGGGATCTTCTTCTTCAGGCTGTCAGCGTGTGGTTTCCACAGGGGGGCAGGCAGCAGGCAGCAGGCTTCGAAACTTTCCGAAATAGATTTCAGTTCTGCAAAAGTTAAATTGGTAAAATTTGTAGTCATATTTCACTTAGTGTGAGGCGCCCAAAAAAATACTCTAAATGTCCATTGGTTAGTCGGATGTGTACGGAAAAATGCCACAAACAGATAGATAAATGTAAAATGTGTAAATGTGAGTTTCCCTTTAGCACACACAAATAAAAAGGGTTCTCCTGCTCCCTTGCCAATGCTGACAGCTGCCCTGAAGGCCCTAAATGCATGTGTCTCTGTGTGTGTTCCTTTTTTGTTCCTTAACAAAAGCAGGCTTCTGTGGGAAAACAGCTTTGAAGCAAAAGGGAGCCAGGAGCGGCAGAAGAGAGAATTGTCAGGGGTAACTAATACAACAATGGTTTTTTCTAGATAACAAAAGATTAGCCATTCCAAACAGCACACACAGAGCACACAGAGAACACAGAACACAGCTGCGTATACTTAATGTGCTGTCAATAGGCAAAAACTGATTTCCCATCTGGATTGCCGGATCATGCGGCACAACTGAGTCACCCAACACAGAGGACAGAGCACTATCAAAATATTGTGGATCCATTATCTATCTACCTTCTGTCTATCTAGGGCTGTACTTTCTGGTTGGTGCTGCGTCAATGGAAAAAAACCAAAAATTCACAGAGAGATATACAGAGGCATCACTCATGGCAGTGGCAAGGAAACAAAAAATGCAAATGCAGTTGGAATAATTACTGTCAGTCTCTGTTGAAGCGGCAGTCTCTGCCGCTTATGAATAATTAAGAGCTGGCCATCAAGGTGCCCCAGCGTATGCTACACTCTGCAAGGAAACTCTTGGCACAACAACAGCTACATACACACAGGAAAGTGTGTGATAAGTGCTAGACTATCGGCAACACCTAACAACAAATGGCGGCTCCTCGCTCTGGTTGTGTGGGTGTTGGCATCATTCGAATGCAATTAGTGTCGGGGCAGTGCCTGAAAGTCCGGAAACAGATGTTTCGTGTAATTTTCATTTGGGGATTTTGCCAAAACTTTGTTTTTTAATTAAACAAGTGGCAGCAGGGAAAAGTTTTCAACGCAAGTCCAACTTGCGACAGGCAAAATACAATGAAAATGCTTGTCCAATGAATCAAAACTTACGCTTCAACGGTCCCGCGATCCTTGCCGAATGATCAACGAGGTGGAAAAACTCAAGAAATTATTTAGAAGAAGCAAAAAAACCGAAGAGTAAAAGGAGCAGCAAGCGAAACTCCCACGTTCTCTTTTTGCTGTTTCGCTCAATTGTATTTAATATTCACACCGAACGGAACTGAACCGAATTGAACGTTTTTACGGGTCCAAACATTTAGCATCCATCCCCCCACTCAAAACACAACACGAAACACCGACGGGGGAAAATGATTTAAAAGAAAACTCTTTTGACACTCTATTTACAAGAAGTTTTGTTTTGTTTTTGAACGGTTGTTTTTTGTATATACAAAAAGTTTTTGAGTTGACTTTGGGAATTTTGAAAACGCTTTTGTTGGGGTAGCCACCGCTCGCACGTCCGTTACATTTCGTAGTCGCGTCGCAACTGTTTTCCCCGAGCAGCGGCCCGAGCAAAGCTTTGCTGCTCTTCACCACACTTCTGTCCTGCGCCTAACAGGTGAGTTTTCCAGAAGTACTTTGTGGGTTGGTGGATTGGTGTGTTGATGAGTTGTGTCCCCGAATTTTGCTGGCACCCCACTGGCGCTGACTGACTGCAGTGCCGCTGGCTGTGTTGCGGTATTTTCGGCTCTCTCTTTGTTGTTGCCTTTCCGCCTCTGCTCTGTCTGCTCTTTCTCCTCTGCCGTCTCCTTTTTTGTAACCTTTTCTCGCACAACTTGTAACATTTTGGCGCGTTTTTTTACGTTTAGCAACAAGTTTTGGCACAGCAGCCGCACAGTAGGCAACAAACTGGATTTTAGCTGCACAAATTTCATGACTTTCCATTAACTACCAAAAAAAAAAATAAAAAATAACGTTTTTGCAATTAAAATAAATATTTTTGAAGACTTAAACTTTGTATTTTAATAGTTACAATTAAGTGCATTTGTTCCTATTAACATTTCATCAGCATCATTAATTTATTTCATTAATTTTCGCACCAGCAACATGCTGCTGCAACATTTCGCCTCTGTTGCTGCTTCTTGGCAACAAACTGTTGAGCATTTCTTTTGGTGAGTCGCCGCACTCGAGCAGCTCTTCAACAGGCAAATTGTCGACTGGTCGACTGACTGACAGGCAACCTCCGCACCCTGCCCCTGCACGAGGAATGTCATACACTTGGCTGTAAATTGCACATTAAATGGAATTGCAATACAAAACAATCAACGTGTCAATTAAATAATGCACGGCACAGCGGCAGATGTCTGCCTGGCTGACTGTCCAAATGGTTTCTGGCTTCTGGCGCGAGTGTGTCACTGGCAGGTGGGGAAATCCCGCCAGATGCCCATTCAATCCCAGTCGAAAAGGTGTGAAAGGTGTGAAAATGCAAAGGTTTTCTTTTGTTTTTCCCTGCCTTGGCAGGGCCATCCTCTGGCCAGCCGCAATATTTACGGCACTCGAGAGTGCCTTTATTTCCGCATGAATCATTCCTCCCCGCCCCGTACAGCACCCACAACGCGTATAAATTCTTTTGCTACTACTTTCTGTGTCTCTGTCTCTCTGCTCTCTTGGCTGGGCCCATGGCCCATGTCCAGTCCACCGTCTGTAGCATTTTTTATGTGCTGCTCCCCCACTGCTCCCACATCGTAGACATTTTTTCGGTTGGGTTCCGGCAAAAAGGAAATTTCAGGAATTTTTACGGCCGCTCTGTCTGTTGAATTTGTCATCACATGCTGATGATGGCGATGACTTCGCCCCGGCCACAACTTCTCTTTCTGTGTATGCATGGCAGGACGACGCACGACAGCAGCAGGAGCCTCTCCTGTCGGTAATTATGATAAATGTGTTCTTAATAAACTCAGCCGTTGCGAGTGAGTATCCTGTATGCCTGTCGTGGTCTGGGGCCTGTCACAACAGCGGCTACAATGTCTGCTTGCTGTGGCAGCTTTAATGCATTTTCTTCCTCTTTTTTTGCCTTGCCCCATTATCGGGCGCTTCTTGCCACCTGTACTAATGGCATTTCCTGTACAAGTCCAAGCCGTGTCCGGGCCATTAGCAGGCAAAATCCTGTTGCACATTGATCGACAATACAATGTTGTTCGTGTATGTACATGGGGCATGGGCTTAGCTTGCTGCCAGGCACATGACAGCGAGGGTGACTGTACGTCACTGTGTCCGTTCGTCTGTCCGTTAGGGTGTACGTCAGGACTGTCAGGTGTGTGTGTGTGTGCTAGCTGTGAGTATGTGTTTATGGCAAGTATTGCAACTGCTTTGCCACTCTGCTGATGTCATTGGTATGGGTAGAGGGTGACTGTGTGTGTGTGTGTGTATGTCATTACACTCTACTCTTTAGTTGCATTAACGCTTATTCAATCAACGTTCAGCGCTCAAATTGCCTGTTAAGCTGGCCCACATCCTGCCAGCCTGACTGCCTGACAGTTCCTGTCCCTGCTGCATGTGTGTGTGTGTGTGTGTGTTTGAATTATGGCCGCGTAATTTGATTAGCCGTTAGATGAGGCAACCAACGCACGATTACCAGCTAAAATGTAAACTACATTTATGGCACTCGCTTCGAGGTAATAAACACAAAGTCGCTGGAGCGACTGCGACCAGCCTCCAGCTGGTTGAAACAAAAGCATAGCCTACTTTTGTGCGCGGCCTGCCTAGATTTTATCGCTGCTTGTGCCACATTAATGTTTACAAGTAGCTGGACAGGGAATGGCAATCCAACATGTTGACACGTTGTAAAATTACTCTACAAGCGCCTCAAGGAATATTGCAAGTAACTTTCTTGTTTGTTTAGTTTATGTCATAAATCTCCGACAATATTCCAAGTGCAGCAGCCAATCAAAATCTGTTTGATATGCTGCCAAAACAAATGTCTAAATCCTGGCAAATCTAAAGTTAATAAACGCAATGCACCCCACTCCCCAACCAATTCATTTGCAGTCAACCAAAAACTTGATTATCCAAGCGATTTACCAAGCAAAGGCAGGGAGGCTGAAGCGGTGTGCAGGTTGGAGTGGAGGAGCAGGAGCATCGTGGAGTAGAACTGTGTGCTTAATGAGCTCGGTGAAATGTGTGCTTAAAATTAACTTTTAGCTAGCAGCACAAACTGATGACAGAGAACTGTGTTTGCTGCTGTTGTCCCCTGGGTTGTCCTCGTTCTCCAGCTGTTGCGCTGCCAGACGGGACACGCTCATAATTACGCATACAATTTGGCAGGCAGGCAGAGAGCTTCACTTAGTAGTTGGCTGGAGAAAGAGCTACCAGACTTGCTTTAATAATTAAGATCCGGGCAAAATCAAGACATTCTTGAGAGCAACAAAACTTAGCCAGCGAAAGGCCATGAGACTTTTTTAAGCACCACAACGTGGGGTTGGTCGAGAGCAGAAGGCAAACGTTGTCGTGTCATCTGCAAGTGCAACCAGAGAGGGGACAGAGCAGAGTCAGGGTCAGGGTCAGGGTTCTAGGGGGGGGGGGGGGCTACTAAAAAACTAATTTCTCCCTTTGTTGAGCATAATTGTATGCAATTGTTTTGCAGATTGAATTGTAGAGTGTGAGCAGAGGCATCCGCACAATGACCCAAAACAATTCTCGCATTTTCATGCATTATTTTCGCCAGTTCCTGGAAACTCTCCCTTTATGAATGCAATTAAAATGCTTCTGCTGAGTGCGCACCACACGGCGTATGCGTGGTGTGCAATTCGCGGCTTAAGCGTTGGATAATTGGATTAATTAATGGCTTGAGGGCGCCGCGAGCATTTTCTCACCCCTCGCTGCACCTTGAGAAAAGTTCAATGGCGTTCAGCAGCCGCTGTAATGGGTTCTTCGACTGCGTAGAACACCGAAACCATTCCATTCCAATCCGATATTCACGTTTGTTTTTTTGTTTGGGTGCACTGAACGCGGCGAGGCAGCATATCGAACGGCAATTTCCATTCCATTTTGTACCCTTTTTTGCAGCTATCCGTTGCCCGTGCTCTATTCTGCCCTGCCTTTGACTCGCTCGCAATTTATTGCTCAACTCCACAGAGCACGGGCACGGGCAGCGCTCTATTTGGCTTGGAGCTAGAAAAAAAAACACCCATTCAGAGTGTGTAAGTTTTAATTTTATTTTCTCACTTCATTTGCGAGGGTTGTGGGTTGTGGGTTGTTTGGCCATGGCTTTTGCATACAATTTGCATAAGCAGCCGGTCGAGCGAGCAGTTTAAGCAACCTGTCCCGGGCAGGTTAATAAACGGGAGCTTCACGCTCCTTGGCTTAGACGTAGCCGTTTAAGGCCATCTTGCTCAAGTTTTTATGGCGCCTGGAATCGCACTGAGGCTGCCTGATGGGGCATGCCGCTCAGGTGTGACTCGAATTCTCGCTTGTCTGGCTGCTGATTATTTGCGAGCTTATTGCGTTAATGCGACGCTTATCGTTAAGGGGGGAATCGCATTAGCAGCGCTTAAAGAGAAGCCCAAAACGTCCTTGAAAGGACTCCCTATCCAACCCGCAGAATGTTTTTGTTTGACTAGTCCGTACCCCTGGCAAGCGGTAAGCAAATCCTGCATTTGACTGTTTCCTTGGCTTTGTTTGCGCATTCAATCAAGGTTGTCCCTGGCCCAGGCCCAGTGGCTATTTAATGTGCAAATATTAGCCAGAACTAGCAGCAGCAATCACTCCCCCGCCGCTGTCCTGGTCTAATACTGGCGTTGTCTTTGAGGGATGTTGTGAGCACTTATCTGTGACCCACTTGCAGCTTTACTTATTTATTTATAGGTGTTCCATTTGACTCGGAGCCATGCAAATTGATGGGAATTATTCATGCTACAGCCAAGGCAGGGACAAGAACGAAAGCCATGATTAAGTAGTTATTCGCTGGAACCTATTAACCTTGAAGCTCTCTTTCTGTCACTCTCCTGTCTCCAAATTTATTCTCACACATCCCATAGATTCCTGCTCCCTCCGTCTTGTTTTGTATTCAAGTTTGGCCATTGTCAACGTCCCTTCGCCGCTTCGGTAATAATAATGGACCGAGGGCTACGTGCCACTATCTGGCGCCGTGCGTGCCTTAAGCACCCATCCAGCAGCAGCAGCAGCAGCATCCAGCTCCAGTTTCAGCTCCTGCCATTGGGTTGGGCACGTGGAGGACTCTCTCTCTCTCTCTCTCTCGAACTGTCGCGCTTGATGCGCTTTTGATAACTTGTTTGAGTTTTGTTTGAGCCTCTTCTGTCTCGGCCTGACATCTTTGTTGCCGTCCGCTGTCGTCGCTGTCAACAGCCCCGCGCCGCGTGACTTTGCCACCAATTCTGTAGTCTCCTTTCTGTTTTGTGGCTCTGCTTGGATTACACCCACACTCGAGTTGGTTTAAATTAAAAAGCGTCCAGCAAACATGTTCCCTCAACTGCAGTGAACAATTCCTGCCATTGCCGAGGGCAGCCCCCTTTTTTTTATATATTTTACTTTCCCGCACAGGTGTTTTAGTTCCCAGGCGCTTTTATTATACGCCAAAGTCCTGGCTTTAACGGTGCGCGGAGCGCCCTTGAAAACAGCAAGTATAAAAAATGTATTTAAAATAAAAACAAGATTTTGCACTCAGCATGTGCTGGGGGAATAGTTTTAGCCAGGGATCTGTTAACTATTCGACAAATATGTGCCACTATCCCCAGAATCTATGCACCCAATTTTGTCTGCCAATTGCCGGCAGATCAGATTGGTGTCAATTTACGTAGTTTTTTGTTGGCCAATTTAATGGCATATTGAATGTCTCACATATACAGGAAGGGGCCTGGGCTATGCTATCAATGTTTGCGCCGAGGATTTTCTCCATAAATAATCCATTGGAACGTGTAACAAAAGTGCGTCACACACACACAAACTCTGTGGGCCCACATGGACAGTGGTTGGCCTTACATTGGCGGTTGGCGTGGCGTGGCGTGGCGTGGCGTGGCGTCTGCGTGGGTCTGTCGCCTGTTTTTTATGGCACCCTGGGGAAATGACGTACGACTATAAGCGTGTATGAATGCCAGTTTAATATACAAAACTTTGACAATATTGTCACACACTCACACTCACACTCACACTCACTCACCCTGGCAATCTCGCTCCAACAGCAGACGTGCAGCCAGACAAATGTGCGAATAAAACTGCTATTTTCGTACTGCTTGCGTCTATTATTAGACCCTATTGACAAAGTTATACGAACACACCAGTAACTAGCAATGATAAATAAACACTGAAGCTAAAGTGTTTTAGATACATATTTTGTGGGATGGAAACTCAATTTATTATGTAGAAATACCATCAAAGTAGGCAGCAAAATGAATGGAATCTTGAGCCTGTGACCCTGCTCTTGGTCATGCTTCGATAATTACTTGTCCAGCGCCCATCGTTGACGTCATTTGCATCTGATATTGGCAGTACTCAAAGTGAAATCAGAACAATTCGCAGATAAATCTAAAGGCTCTTTCTTTCGGCCTCACTTCGGTACCTTGCCCCACTCCGCGCACCTTGCCAAATAAAATCTCTCTTGCTTGGCGCGCTCTTCAAACGTTTTTATTTAAGTTCTGGCCATTGTTTTTATTTGCCTTTAATGGTGAAGGGCTGTGGAGTCCATCCCCCGGATCCCCTGAGTGGTAGCTTTAGTGGCGCTCTCTGTTTGCTTTAACATCGAGAAAAGTTTTGTTCTTCTTTTCAGTCGAGGCAGCCACTCATAAAGCAGTCTGAAGCCCTGCTTCTGGTTGCTTTTTGCTAGGTGCGAATTGGAAGGCGATGGGGCGGCAGGCCGCAAAAACTTTTTCTCCACTCTCCTCTCAGCTCCTTTTTGCAAGAAAAGGTCACTGAACAATTGACAAAGTCGCTTCTCCGCTTTCCTGGGTACTCCAGCAAAACGCCATTTAAAAAGTTTTACATAATAGTTAGGGCCCCGGCACTTGTCAAGTGCCCATTAGGCTAAAGATCTGGCCCACGGAAAAACAATGTCAGCCAGGCGGCGCTGTGGCTGCCTTGACCAGCGTTTTGATGCGAAAAATTCAATCAAAGCACGCTCAATTAGAAGTTGTCATTGAAACACTATGAACACTCATTAGGTTGAGTCTTGTAGCTCATAAGTTTGCTCATCCAAGGGGCTTTTGTACAGCTTCTGCCAATATCGCTATTTGTCAATTTTGCTAATGGATTTATCTCAGGATATCTGATTTAATTTGATGATACATTTGAGGTGTCGGACAAGAAGAAAAGTTTTGTATGACTTTGATTTAGTTTCTTTAAGAGGAATATTCATTAAAATTGGTTTGATATGTTGGATTTGAATTGCGCGGGTTATTTTAGCCATGTTTCAAACCAACGAATAGGGCTGCCAAGGACAAGTTATTTCGTTATCTGATTGCATAGTGTGCTAGCACAACGAGGTAGAAAAGCTTCGCTAAAATCATAATATAAGCACACATTATGTGCCACATTTGAGGAATTTCAAGAAAACACAATCACTTGCAATGCACTCACCTTTCCGCATTATTTTTCATCTTCCTTTTGCAATCTCCACTTTACATTTTGCTCTGCCTTCTACGCGCCATAACTGCAAGCAAACAACAAAGATGTAAGTGAGAGCAATTTCAGCAGCACTCGCCGAACGAGAGAGAGTGAGAAAGAGAGACTTATATGGAGCCAACGAATTCACGTAGGCTCTTCTCATATTCTTCTTTTCTACTCATTTTACATGAGAGAGTTAGAAAGGGAGCGCAATAGATTTGCCAAACAGAATCAGCGCACAAGGTCTCCAAGGAGGAGACTTTATTAGTGGAGAGAATGTTTCACTCACCTTGGCATGCCTTTTGCCTCGTCTTCTTTATGGTCAAACTGCTGCCTTCTCCTCCTGATCTTTTACAGTTATTTCGAAGTAATGATGGACCAGAGCTTGAGATTTCGGAAACGTTTTACGATACGAAACGACACAAGCACTGCACTTCATTTTCACAGACACTTCACATTCACACACTTTTCACATTTCCTCCTGCCATCTCCTTTTTTAGCGCCAACATCTGCCATTTTTGCTGCTGATTCGCCATTGGGGGATTAAACACTTCTTTTACTACACTTTCAGATTTTTCCAACTTATTGGCCATTTGATCTGCCATTTTTGCCGCCATTTTTTGCATATGCTTCGCCTTCGTAGAATTAACAATTTTATGCCAGGATTTTTTATATTTTCCACTGCACACAATACCTTCCTATTGATAATCACAATTTGCCTGGAGACATATTGGAACGAAAGCGCCGTCGAAGCCACGTAGACATTTTTGATCATCTTCTCTCCGCTTACTGCGTTAAATAGTTAGAAAGGGAACGCAATAGATTTGTAGACTTTCTGCAATTGCCTTTCGCACGCACCCACGCATGCAGCGCAAACCTCGTGATCGAAGGAAAAAATTGTGGGCTATACCACGGACATAACGGGACCTGGGGTGCTTCTCTGGCAGTTCGACTACTTTTTGACACTCTAAAACACTTGATGCACTGCACTTTCACATATTATAACTAAGTTCTGTAATTTTTGCCGCTGCTCCGTTTCTGCATTATGTTACTTTCTTCACTACACTTTCACATATTTCCACTTATACGCCATTGATCTGCCATTTTTGCCGCCATGTTTTGCCTCTGCTTCGATTTCGTAGAATTAACACTTTTTTGCCAGGATTTTGTGTATTTTCCACTGCACTACACTAACACAATATTTTCCGATTGAATTTTCACAATTTTCCCGCTTTTCCGACCCGAACCGGTAAAAACACCGCGTGACCGTGACCGCGGCATTATCGATCAAATATATGGTGGATACTTTGCATGTGATATATTTTGGTAATAGTATTGTGTGGTATCGGTACTTTTGTGCGATAAGCGGAACATGGCGGGGTGATTTTCAAAATAACAAAATACGGACTCTGCCATATCAAGCCATTGAAACCATGGAACGACACGATCGGACCACAAATTAAGGTTTAAAGAAATTGTGAGAGAATAAGAGGAGAAACAACACAATCTACGCAAAGGCATCGTGCACAAATCATGTCCACACACAAATGTGCTCTCAAGAGTTTTCTTTTAACTTTTTGGTTTCAACCTTTTGTGCCATCGATAAAATAAATATATGTCATGAAAACAAACCAATCCTGTAGAGAATTGAATGATGATTCGAGTAAAATTACAGTTTAAGAGCTGAGACTCCTAACTAGATAGTAATATAAAAGAGAAGATCAAAGTCGTGGAAAATGATCTACGGTATATTTACAGTATATTTTGAAATGAAAGGGTATATTTCGGTATATTACCCAGGGCTGGTCCGATCGTGTCGTTCCATGCTTTCTATGGCTTGATATGGCAGAGTCCGTATTTTCTTAATTTGAAAATCACCCCGCCATGTTCCGCTTATCGCACAAAAGTACCGATACCCACAATACATTACCAACAAATATATCACATGCAAAGTATCCACCAAATATCTTCAGCGATGTATTGCCACATCGATATTTATTAAAAATCCATAAGAAAAACAGTGCAAAACTGTTAAAAATTTTAACTGTTCTATAATTGCAAACGCAGTGCCGTTTCAATTGCCACAACAATACGATAATAATGTTGGTCAACGAAGCTAGACAAGTATTGAGCCGTGCCAGCTCCCTGGCAGCACGTCACCAGGTAAGCAAAGGATGGGCGATGGCAAAGGCTCCTGGCCGTCGGGCGGCTTTTCGGCCAGTGCCGTTATATAAGGCGGGCCAAAACTGCTTGGGGTACAGATAAAACCCTATAAAAGTCATAACAAATGCGTCGCAGATGAAAAAATGTAGAAGAACATTTTGCGATTATGTAAACGCGATTGCAGCCAGCAAATTGGATAAAATCGTTAATGGCGTGACTCTACAGCTGACAGCCACACACACAGGCAGACACAAATGAGCACTTATATTATTTACCGTAACTCTTACAGCTGCGCGCCATCAGCAATGGCACTGCCCAGCTGGATCAACAGGCCCAGCCCAAGGAGGCCAAGGAGCCGCAGATTAAGAAGTTCGAAATCTACCGCTGGAGCCCGGACAATGCTGGCGAGAAGCCGCACATGCAGACGTACGAGATCAATCTGCGCGACTGCGGACCCATGGTGCTGGATGCACTCATCAAGATCAAGAACGAAATGGACCCAACACTGACGTTCCGTCGGTCGTGCCGAGAGGGCATTTGCGGCTCCTGCGCCATGAACATTGGCGGCACCAACACGTTGGCGTGCATCAGCAAGATCGACACGAACACGTCCAAGTCGCTGAAGGTGTACCCGCTGCCGCACATGTATGTGGTGCGGGATCTGGTGCCGGACATGAACAACTTCTACGAGCAGTACAGGAACATTCAGCCCTGGCTGCAGCGCAAGTAAGTGCCGGAGAAATCATCCACATGGAGCCACAAAAATCAACTTTATCCCTTCCATAGAAACGAAGCTGGCGAGAAGAAGGGCCGCGCCCAGTACCTGCAGTCCGTGGAGGATCGCTCCAAGCTGGATGGCCTGTACGAGTGCATTCTGTGCGCCTGCTGCTCCACCTCTTGCCCATCGTACTGGTGGAATGCCGAGAAGTATTTGGGCCCCGCTGTGCTCATGCAGGCCTACCGCTGGATCATCGATTCGCGTGACGAGAACTCGGCCGAGCGTCTCAGCAAGCTAAAGGATCCCTTCAGCGTCTATCGCTGTCACACGATCATGAACTGCACGCGCACCTGTCCCAAGGGTCTCAATCCAGGCCGTGCCATTGCAGAGATCAAGAAGCTGCTGGCGGGTATCGCCTCCAAGCCGGAGCCCAAGCTGGAGACAGCGGCGCTGCACAAGTAGAGCGAAGTTTCTTCTGGTCCTCTTTTGTTTGTGCCCCAAAGGGATATCCTTCACCCAATTTGCTTACAATGTTTTAATTTATATAAGCTTAAAGTAAACCAAACCTAAATATGTCAAAGGGAAACGTTGTGTAACGCAAACAAAATAAATAAATAGATAATTGTGTAGCCACTCAAGCGTCTGCCTCACTCATCCACATCTTCGGGCGTATAAAAGTCTTGAGTCACGGGAATGACACGATCGTTGGTCTCATCATCCTCCTCGTCATGACTGTCCGTGTCCTCGCTGTCATCGTTGGCTGTAGGGAGAGGAAAGAAAAGAGTCAGGAGACTGCCGCTTAAACGACTGCCATTTCCACTCACCATCTTCATCATCCGTCTCGATGCCCGGTATTGTCAGCATCTTGCCCAATGGCTGCAGGTCTGTGCCCGCAGTTTTGAGGGACTCGCGCTGCAAGTGGAACACCAAAATGATTGCAAATAATGAACCAAAATGGTGTCGCAGAGTGACTTACCCAATTGCTGCGCTCATCCTCGTAGCGTCTGGTCTGTGCCTCCTCGCTAACAGACGCGGGCGCCATGTCCAGCCAATAGCGATTGGCCACAGAGACCTTAAGGCTGGGAAAGAATGGTATCATTGGCATACTTAGGAATTTTCGGCTGTTGTCTGTCAGAAATGCAATTTCCACTTTTTGTTATTGTTTGGATGGACGCCTGCTGGACGATATGGCAACGCCACGCAGCGACTCACGGGTATCGAATAGGTATCGCCGAGGTATCGCAACCAGAATGGACCAAAAACAAAGGAAATTTGAATAAATATTTGTGTGAATTTGTTTATTTATCTATACAGAAGCTATAAAAAGGGACGACCGCGTGATGCAGCTGAAAGCATCATCATCAGTGCATATTTATTGGTAGTAGAGTTCCAGATTCATGCCATCGTGGATTTCGTCTGCGGAAAATATAATAAAAATCATTTAAAATATTGCCACAGCTAGCTGATAATTCAATGACATACAATCAGATAGGCGAATGGGATCCTTGTAGATGGTATACCACTTCTTCAGAACAATCTTCTCGTGTTTTGTGCCCGTCTGTGCCGCTATAAGTTTCTTCAGATCTCCGACGGTGTCGTCCGGGTTGCACTTGACGCGCACCTGCGTGATAAACGTGTAATTAGGCGCAGGAAATCGTTATAAGTGCACAACTATTAGTTACCTTCTTGCCCAGTCGATCGTTGCAAGTTATTTCTATCATTTTGGTCTATAACAAATAAAAACCACAATAATATAAGTACTTTGTGTTAGGGATGTGATAGATATATCGATAGCAACTATTTATGCTTCGATAATGACAAGTGTCGATATTTTGGTGCGATCAACGAAATTCATTCCGTTGTTAATTTATATTTAATTGGAAATGTAATTTTCAATATCATTTTACAATGTCGCTGATTGAGTGTAAGACTTATCTTCGTGCCTTCCCCATTGACCTATTGAATGAACTTTATGATTTCCTCAATCATTTTGGGCAGCGACTTGACAATAAGGAGCAGTCCATTGATCTGATCATAACATCTGCTTATGGCTTATTGTTTTTATTGTTCAAATTGAATACAACAGATGCGCGACCTTTGTTGTGTTTTTTATTTGCATTATAGGTATTCGATTTTTTGTCCATGCTTGAAAAGGTTAATTCTCTCTGATTCCGCGTACAACTACATATAAAACCCAGATGTTCAATCCTCGGCAGAAATACACGAAAATGCCTCGCTCCAACTCCAGTTCTGTTTTGCTCCTGCTGTCGCTGGTGGCGCTGATGACGCTGTTGCCTTTCGCCGCCCAAGCCCAGATGGTGCCACGCGGTCATTGCAGGCCCTTACTCCTGCGCGTTCCAGCAGGTGCCCAGGTCTGCGAGCGACAGTGCTACTCGCCCGGCATCCCACCATACATCTGCCGACGAATGCCTCTAACCACTGATGTCCGCATCTGCAGCGGGATCTGCTGTCGCTCCGGCCCCTATTGCATGCAGTTGCTGCGAACCTAATTGGATTATTTATTTCACTTACCAATTGATTAGAAAATATAAAGATACATACATATATCTTAATCACTCCCCTTCATTTCACATGCAATATATATTTCTGTTGCTTATTATTTTGAACTGAACTCTATCGATAGTCATCTACCGATATCACTACCCATCGATGGTAAGCTAAAAACCATTCGATGTATCGTTGCTGCTACCGATGGTTTTGCCCCTGTTCAGTTCCTCATTCGGGTGTCATTTGTGTTATTCTAAAAACATAGCAGCCCTGGCAAGTAGCTGAAAATTATTATTAAACAATAAATCCCATAAACTCACACAGTGCGAGATAAAGTGTACGTGTAAAATGTAAGTCCCCAATAAAGCGAAGTTATGCTGAGCACAAGTTAAAATTGTATACGAGTGTGTGTGGCGTGTGTGTGTGGCTGTGTGCGTGCTTCCGTTTTTTTTCAGCCAAGCCGCCGCTGTCGACGCCGCTGGCAGTGACGCAGCTGCGGAAAACTTGTTTGGGTTTTTCATTTCAACGATATATTTACCCGTCTGCGTGTGGCTGGCTGTGGAATGTATTTTTGGTCAATTTATATTGATTATTTCGCCTGCTTGGCAACCTGTACCCCCACTTTCCATTTTATGTTTTGTGAAATGTTGCCGCTCTCTTGGCGAACACCGCACTCCACGGCCACTAGCAAGCAGCAGCAGCGAGCAATTCGCAAGTCGAAATGGCTCTTGCTCTATTTTTAGACACAATCTTTGTGGCAGCCCCCAGCCTGCTTGGCGTACCTCCTCCTTCCCATTGCATTCTAATTAAAAACCAGACACTGCGCTCATTTCAACACGCACTGCATTGCATAATTTAGTGTAAAATGCCTGAACCCATTCCCCTACCATCGAAAAACCACTCGAGCATAAGAAGTAAAGTAACAATAAAGTAGTTTGTCAAATATTTCGTCATAATGAGGAGAAATCCGTTGTGCTGTGGGTCTGGTCTCTCTGTCTGTCCAATTGTAAACAACCCACGCCTAGATTTACACAGACACACACACAAGTACCGTTTTAATGTTTATTTTCCATTTTACCATTCCATTCCAACCTTCAGCATTCGGCCCTAAAAACATACGAGGCAGCAGCAGAATCTAATCATCATGAGCGATGATACGTACCAGATAGAGACGCGCCGGCGTTCGCGTTCCAAGACCCCATTCCTACGTTCCAGCTGCGATCATGAGAATTGCGAGCACGCCGGCGAGGAGGGGCATGTGCATCATCAGAAGAAGAAGTCCGCACAGGCACCCAATGTGCAGTGAGTATGAAAGGGTGGAAGGGCTTCCCAAAAATAGAAACAATTACAACATTTGCTTATCACTCAACATGCCATTTGCTATCAGAGGGGGTTTAGAATTCTCCAAATGGAGTTCCAGGCGGCATGTGGGCAGTGCACGCGAGTTAAAACCAGCGTCACAATCAAAGCAGCAATAACCCCCTCCGTGCAGTGGTGTCGGTGTCGCTGTCTACTTTTGTGTTTGTGTTTTTGTTCGCGGCGACGGCGGCCATGACGTCATCTGCTTGTTATTCACACTCGACGCGAAATTTAATTTCGTAGCGGCCAAAGCAGGCAAATGAAAACGAAGGCAAATCCACATGTACACACACACATGCAGGCTTGACTCTCTCTGTGTGTGTGTGTGTTTGTTTGTGTTTCGCCGTTCAGGGTGTGTGCGGCTCTGTGGCTTTGGCGCGCATTTTGACCAAACAGTTAATGAAATCAAATATTAAACTTTGTCGACGTTTCGTTGATGACGACATCTGGCAGAGCATAGCAACAACAACAACTTGCTCCAGCTCAAGGTGAATTTACGTAATGTCACCACAGGGAAGTCTCGCTAGCTCTATCCCTTTCTAGCGCTCGGCGCTCAGTGCGTGGTGAATAGGTTCGTCACCTTGTAAGCAAACTCACCTTGCTCTGGCTTTGATTTTGACGTTTTAGACACAGAAAAAAACGAGCAAGCATTGACAAAACTGAAGGTCAGCGCAGCACATGGGAATATTATTTTATTGTTTTTTTTTTGTAATAAACCAAAATCCTCACTCATTCTTGCAGAACAATCATCGAGGAAAGCAGCGTCGTGGTGGAGTCTAGCATCGGCAAGAAGAAACGCAGCAAAGCATTTGCCCAAATGACCTCGGACTTTTCGGTCGATGACATTCAACCGGAGACGAAGCGTAAACAAAGTTCGACCACCACCACAACGGTCACATCAACGGTTAGCAGCATGAGAATGGGCGGCGCCACATCAACGCCACACAACAAGGTGCAGCTGGAGACGAAACAAAATGTGCTGAACACCGCCCAGGAGCAGCTAAACAACAGCAAGCGATCGAATGGCCTCAACAGATCGGGAAATCCCAACGATTACTTGGCCTACATTGAGTACAAGAATGCGGGAGAGTACTGGAAGTGAGTATAGTATTTTCCATAAAGATTTTCTGTTGCTAAAACTCTTCTCCTTTGGCAGCAATACACCCAAAACGGATTACACATACTCAGAGCTGTCGCCACATCGCCGCCACTTGGCGCCCGGTGTTGTGGCCATGCCCAATATGTCGCGTCGCAGCCTGGGCAATCATGATGAACGCGTCAACTTTATGATCCAGCAGAATCCCGACCAGGAGGAGCTCATACGCAGGCGCTACCAATCGAGAACCACGCAGCAGTACGTCAACTACGACTCCGGCGACGAACTGGACGCCACAATGTTTGGACAGCAAAAGAAGCAGAGCTTCTGGCTGGTGCGTCTCATTCAGGTTGTGCTGAGCACCGTCACCACCATGTGGACACGCGTGACGAACATTTCGGCCACCGAGACGAGCGCATATCAAACGTACTACGCCAGGCAGCAGAGGCAACAGGAACGCAGTCTCCTGGGACGCTGCGTACATGCCATCGGGGACAGTTTGTCGCGCGTGTTGCGCTACGTTTATTTGTTCATTGGCTCTGTGCTGAGTGTGGACACGTGGCTGCTGAGATCTACGAATGCGGAGAACAAGTCCAAGAAGCGTTTTCTGCTGCTGCTGTTGATCTTGCTGCCGCTGCTGCTGCTGACGGGTGAGTAGGAGGAGGAGGAGGCTATAGAGTAAAATATATGTGAACGTGCGCCCCAGACCTTGAATTGGGTTGACAGCCAGTGGGCATAGTCGTCGACCCTCGGCTGGTTTTATTTATAGCTTTTGCTTCTGCCCTGGTCTGCGGGCCACGTGCATACATATTTGACTCAAAGACAGCGACCAGAAATGCCTAATGTTCGCTTTGTTCGCTCCCCTTTTTGCAGGTCTGTTCTATTATCTTCATCCCAATGAGACTTTCCCACCCAAATCCCTGTCCGATTACACCTTCACCTTCACCCTGCCCGAATTGCCCAAGCTAAATGTCGGCGAATATGTCAATCAGGCTCAGTACGAAACGTTGCGCGCCCAGGCCGCCGAACAGGCTGTGCGCGTGCGTGACTGGGCCGATGATTATTTGCTATATTTGAAAACTATCGGCCAGAATGTCGTGGCACGCGGCAGGCAATTACTTCAGTCCGATGATCAGGTGTATTATGAGCGTATTTAGAGCAGACCTTGAGCGGCTGTCGTTCCGTTTTCTTTTTGAGTTGCTGCAGCAGCTGCTCAGCTGAGGCAATGCGGTCCGTTGCAAAATCAACACAATTTTCTCAATAAAAAGATGAACGTTGAATTGAGGGTGTATTGTTGCGTTCATAGACAGGACCAGGAGGAGGAGTGCCAGTGCCAGCTCTCTCACTCCCTGTGCTTCGGCTGCCACAGGCACTCCTCCTCCTGGTACTGCTCTATAAACGCAGTAAGCCATTTCCGCGAATATGGCGCGAATAATTCAACGTTCATCTTTTAATTGGGAAAATGTTGTTGATTTTTGCAAGTGTACTGCTTTTTTTTTTCCTCTCTTTGCTCCTTACTTTATGAACAATTGAAGTACAAATTTAAAAAGCATTTGATTCGTTTTTATTATTCTTCGTCAGTCTGCTTCGTCCACAAAAAGTGCCATTTATTTTGTTCGTTGTTGAATACGCTCATAAAAGCACTCCCCACACACACAAACGACATGACTAACCCACCACACAAACTCCCCACACACTTTACACCTCAAACCTCAAACCCCAAACCCAACCAAATGCAACTATCACAGGCTTGATGGAAGAAGGATAGAGATTTACATTAATTCATGACCCAAAAAATGTAATTTTGTTCACTGTTTTTGTGCGTTTTTTGTAAGCGTCTTTTGTACAAACAAAAAAAGAAGAATAAAATGGAAAAAAAAACATTTAAAATTCAAGTAAAAAGCAGAACAAATCGTTTCGTTTTATTTGCCATTTGTGAGGGAGTCAGTCGCGCGTGCGACGAAAATGGTAAGTAGAATAATAATGACAAGAGCAATATTAGTTGGCCAGAATCGAACTCTATCCTTCTGCATTTCTGCTGCGTGTGTGTTGTGTGTGGCATTAACCCCCCACCCCCCCCCAAAGAACAGTCCAAGCCTGCCCCCCCCTGTCCTAGCTAACCAGAAGTTGTGGGCGGGAAATGTAGAAGGACTCTGATTGCCAACTAATAATGCCTTGTTTTTCGTTCTTGTTTCATCTTTCGACCAGCCTGGTCGCTGTTGCAGGGGGAACAGCAGCTGGGCTACGTGCAACGTGTTCAGGCGCTGCTGCCACTGCCTCTAACGCTGCTGGCCACTTGGCGTGGGCAGCTGTCGAGCGCCACAGCCACGCTGAAGTCTGTGCTGCAGCTGCCTGTAGCTGCAGATGAGCCCGCTGCCATCAAGTCCAACCTGGCGGGCATTGAACAGAGCATCAAGAGCGCCCTGACCGCCGAGGAGTACGAGAATATTTTGAATCACATCAACAGCTATGTGCAGCAGCTGGTGGAGCTGAAACTGCAGCAACAGGGGCAGATCCATGCGCAGCGGGAGCAGCAATTGTCTCCTCAACAAGTGCAGTTTATTGTGCAGCTAATGAAAGAGAACCTAAAGGAATTCTCTGCCAAAGCAACGCTCAGCGAGCAGGAGCTGAGTGACTTAGCCTCCAAGCTGAAACTACAACTGCAAAGCTCTGGCGACTGGCAGACCGAGGCGCGGCTATCCACAGCTAACCTGGAAGAGATCACGCGACTGATCAAGACTGAGGTAAACCATCACGAATCCCACTATACGCTGCTGTTGGAGCGAATCGATTTGGGCGCTTTGCTGGAACGCATTTTGGGCGCACCCAAGGTGAGGGAATTCGTTGATGAACGCATCAGTTTGGCCCTACAGCAGCAGGAACAACTCAAGGAAGGCTCCGGCGCGCAGCCCACTGAGCACCAAATCGAACAGCTGAACAAGGAAATTGCCTTCATCAAGCTGGCGCTGTCCGACAACCACGCGGTGAACGTGAATCTCCAGCAATCACTCAGCAGTTTGCAGCTCGGCCAGGAGGATCTGTTGGTGCGCATGCAGCAGCATGAACTGGCCAACGATCAGCGTTTCAGTGGCCTGCTGGCTGAGATTGAGTCCAAGTTGGCAGCGTTGAATGACTCGCAGTTTGCGTTGCTCAACAAACAGATAAAACTTTCACTTGTGGAGATTCTGGGCTTCAAGCAGTCGTCGACTGGTGACAAGGAGCTGCAGCTGGACGACAACGAGCTGCAGCACTGGGTGCGCAGTGTCTTCGTGGCAAAGGACTATCTGGAGCAGCAGCTACTCCAGCTGAATGAGCGCACAAATAACAACATTCGCGACGAGATTGAACGCTCCAGCAGCGTGCTAATGAGCGACATAAGTGAGCGGCTGAAGCGGGAGATTCTGCTGGCCGTCGAGGCCAAACACAATGCGAGCAGCATAGAGCTGAAGGCGGAAGTCGGTGAAGAGGCTGTGCGGCAGATAGTCAAGTCCGTGCTGGCTACGTACGATGCCGACAAGACGGGCCTTGTGGACTTTGCGCTGGAGTCGGCAGGTGGCCAAATACTCTCCACACGCTGCACTGAAAGTTATCAAACAAAAACCGCACAAATATCGGTATTTGGCATCCCACTGTGGTATCCCACGAACACCCCACGCGTTGCCATCTCCCCCAATGTGCAGCCGGGCGAGTGCTGGGCCTTTCAGGGCTTTCCCGGCTTTCTAGGCAAGTCGCAGCATTCCTTCCGTTCCAAATGTAGCAAAAATTAAGCCTTATTATTGCAGTTTTGAAGCTCAACTCTTTGGTTTATGTCACTGGCTTCACGCTGGAGCACATACCCAAGAGCCTGTCCCCCACGGGACGCATTGACTCGGCGCCGCGCAACTTTACGGTTTGGGTAAGTGAAGAAATTCCATTTTGGAGCTTGATTTTTGACTCTTTTTCTTTGCCTTTGTCCCAGGGCCTGGAGCACGAGAAGGACCAGGAGCCCGTGCTGTTTGGGGAGTACGAGTATCTGGATAATGGCGCCTCACTGCAGTACTTTGCGCTGCAGAATGTGGACATACAGCGGCCCTACGAGATTGTTGAGCTGCGCATTGAGACAAATCATGGGCAGCCGACGTACACGTGCCTGTACAGGTTTCGAGTGCATGGCAAGCCGTCAGCGACTTAAGTTGAAGTCCAACCCAACGCAATTGAAATTTTCCACAGTCCAGGCTCCCCAAGCACCCAGTTTCCCAACCTCTACCCAGTCCCAACTCCCCACTCTCCCAATTTCGCAACCTCTTTCCAGTCCAGACTCCCACCACTCTAGTGACCTAAGTTCAGTCAGTTGTACATAATGTCGTGTGCCTTAAGAAGGAGCAACAACAAACTCTACACCATATATCGCCGCGAGGGCGTGGAGCAACCCTCTTTACTTATGCTATATGTTAGGCTATAGGCTGTAAGTGTTTTTGTATCATATCATAGTTGGATGAGTGTTTTGTACATATCTTAGATGATTAAGTAGTACCCCACCCCACAGGCAAATGTCCAATAATATTTATTTCAGCTCTACTTAGAATGCATCGTGTCAGCTGCAGTTCCTCACCGAATAACAGTTTTAAGCTTAGAAATATTTCTAACATGTTGGCCATTTTGAAAATCGTTTTAAGGTACACCCAGAGTCAAGGCACACAAAAGCCGCACGAAACTTGCTATAAATGATTAAGTTAAGCTAACAGTAAGTTATAGATGCTAAAGAGAGTGTGGAATGCACACAATGGAAAGCGCACTTAAAGCTACCTAAAGCCAGTTTCTATTCAGTTTCTAGTTATGTTTAGGGAGTCCAACACACTTCAAGACCAGTTTCTAGTTCAGTTTAGGGAGCAGATGCACTGCAAATTCACTTTTTAGTTACATTTAAAGAGCCAATCTCGTTCAAGTCCACCTTCTAGCTAAGTTTAAAGAGCCAATACAGTTTCTAACCAGTTGCTAGTTAAGTTTAAAGAGCCCACTACACTACAAGTCCAGTTTCTAGTTAAGTTTAAATAACAAATCCACTTTAATCCACTTTCTAGTTAAGTTTAAAGAGCCGAGAACCCAAAAATAGTTGATAGTTGTACCCGAAAAAAACTCTTACCGTTGCTATATCTATGTCTAACCCGTTTATGCTTGTAAGTTCACTTAATTGGCATAGTTTTATCCGCATGCCACTCTCTTTCTTTCCTACTATTTTTTACAATAAACGCATTGAAAGCATTAATTGCAACGCGTTATCTTAGTGGGAAGAGGGTAGGGCAGGGCAACAGGAATGAATGGCTGTCAAAGCCATTAGCAGTCAAGTAATTAGCAGCAGTTAAATTTGTTTTTTTTTGCAGGTACAACAAACAAAGAAGAGCGAGCAAGAGCGTTTAAAAAAATGATGGAAATTCCAGCTACAGAGTGCACAAAAAACCTGCTGCTGCAGCGAGCTCTGTATTTATATATTTAACTAGCATTAGGCATAATTATTCTGCAACTTCCTGATCTTTCTGCTCTTTACAGTTCCACGGACTGAAAGCATTTTTCATTTATTTTTCATTTATTAATTACACACACAATCCCTGCAGCGCTCTTCCTGCCTTCAATGGCACAATTATACACAAGTTGGGAATATTTATGTGATTGATGCCAACTGATTGCCGCTTTGGCTCTTGAATAAGTTGTCAAGCTGTCATATAAATTGCAATTTGAGAGCGAGTCACAGAGCTTCCATGTCAAAGGAACTTACATTTGAGACATAAACGAAGCCTTGCACTTAATTAAAGGACACCCGCAAGGCAGGCAGCAAAGACAGAGAGAGACTGATGGAGGAGGGAGAGACATCACTTCGCTTGGCCTGGCTTGTGTCTCATTTTGGCCAAAATATGCACGTGGCTGAAATTGCAGCAAGTCGGCAAATGTTTCAGATTCCACGGCTAAAGGATAAAGGGCTCTGGGGTCTGTGCCTTTGTGTTTATGCCTCTAAATTACAGGCATTGCTCACGTGCTTGACGTAATTACAGAGAGACAGGCAGACACAGCCACACGCACTTCTGTGTGTGTTTTAATGGCGAGCAGCACCTGCTGAAAAATTTCAATTTAGTTTTGGGGCACACAAAAAAAAGGAGCCAGGTGCCACGTTTTAATTTGCTTACACAAATCTTTGCCAGTCAGTTATTTGACTTGCCAACCCCGAAAGGCATACAGAGAACAAAAAAAAAATAAATGGAAACAAACTCTGAGGACTGGCAAAAGTTTGGCTGCGAGTGTGTAACAATTAAACTGCAGCTAAAAATAGTGACTAATGAGAAAAGTTTCACACAAAAAGGCTGTAAAAAAGGCAACTCCAGTCTACCCTCAGAGGCGGCGCGGCGTCCGTGAAGTGTTTAAGTTTTGCAGCAACTTTTGGTATTGAATTCCGCTGGCGTGTCGGTGGCGGGGCACCTCATCATGCCACGGCCATAAAGAGCGAGACAATAAAAACTCTAGCCATATCATATCACACGCTTATCGTGCGGCATTCAACCTCCTCCCAGGGGCAGGATTGCCCAAAAGTTTGGCACAAACTTGCCAAGAGGCAGATTTGCAGAGAGGGATTGGTAGAGATTTGCCAGAGAATAAACAGCTCGAATCTTTGCTGGAATTTAGCTTAAAGTGCGGACTATAATTGTTGCCCTCCGTAGCTCAAGTCATTCTCCTCCTGCTCCGCCTGCTGCACTCGTCGACAGTCACTGACTTTTATGAACTGCTGTCATATGCTGCCAGCCAAAGTTGTTTCTAAATGTGTTGTCAAATATGAGTTGTTTCCGGGGGAGGTCACGGCTGCTGGCTTTCAGTTTCAACAAACGTATCCGGGAGTGCCCGGCGGTTGGTCTCTGACAACTTTTGTTTGCCAGTCAAATGTTTGCACATTCGGGCAAGTGCTGGGGCTCAGTTGGAGCCACTTGTGTGACGTTTTGCTTGTCGTAATTAAATTTAGCTGCAAAAACGGAGCAGTTGATACAATTTAAATTGCAGTTTTGCACATTCATGTGTCACATTTGTTGCTGTCTGGACAGGAAATGTTTTGCTTAATGAAATAAACTTGTGGCCCAGGCACAGGCACAGGCACAAGCCATTAGCTTTACGAGCAAACCAAAAACTATGCAGGGTGTCCGAGCCATCGCAGGCGCTGTATTTTCATTGCAAATTTAATTACGCATGAGTGTTGTTTACTAGTGCAAAAGTGTAAAAGTTAAGCCCGGTCGGGGAGCTCTGCACATTAACCTTAATTAAGTGACAAACAATACGGATGCTGCCTGCTGCCAGCTGCTCCCTCTGCTCCTTTTTCAATCCTTCAAGTGCGTCACTCGGCCAACACTTTATTTACAGGCAATTGAATTTTTAATGGCAGTTCGGCTCCACTGCCCCTCTGCTGACCTTTGGCAGGCAATGTGCCCCCTTCCTTGCTGCCATTTTCGTTTGTTTGCGCCTCTCGGCTTAAAGTCCTTTGCGGCTTTTTGCGGCCCCAATCCCCAATCCCCAGCCTTGCCAGCCGCAAGCCACTTTTGTCGATCCTTTTCCTTTGGGGCCATCTTAACGCATCATTTAAGCTGCCAGCAGGCAGCAGGGCTTCCGCCTGCCCCCAGCTAACATCTTGTCTTTGCTGCTCTTAATTAAAGATTAAATGTGCTAACAACTTCTGGCAACTTTTGCAGCACAGAAATTGCTTTAATAATGCCAGCCAGCCAGCCAGCCATCCATCCATCCATCCATCAATCAATCAATTACGCTTAGCAGAAGAAAAAGGAAAGAAATAAAACGTGCCTGAAGCTGAGTTTTGTCAGCAGAATTTACGAGCAGAGTCCAGGGCCCAGAGTCCAAATGGAATTGCTAGAAAATTGTGAAAACTTCAGAGCTTCAGTCGAGTAAAAAACTCTTTTTGCAAAATCAGTCAGCAATGTGCGCACTTACCATAAATCTCGTATAAATGTTGCCCATATTTGAGGCCAATTGAAAGTGTTTTGTGCCTTTATTGAATGAGAATTTTGATGTTAAATTTGGCATCAATTTACAGCTCTCTCATATTTCATGGAAACATTTGATTGCTGCAAAAGATTGAAGCGGCATGCTGCAGGCCCTGGCCCTACCTGCCTTTTGTTTGGCCCCTAAACTGGCAAAGCAATTATTTACCTAAATGGTTTACTCACGTCAATGGCAATAGTCTAGTGGCTCTGGCACTCTCTCTCTCTCTATGTGTACAGCCTGCAAGCTGCAGTCGAACAATGACATAGTAGGGGGACAAAAAGCTGGCCAGTTTGAGGCTGCAAAAGGGCAAACTTTTAATTGAAAATCAACACAAAAAGCAGAGAAAGTACAACCTCAACAAAAGCTGCAGAAAAATCTGTCAAGAAATAAGCGAAAACAAAATCTGTTTCGTATGGGCAGAGAGTGGCAGTAGAATGCAATAAACGTTGCCATAGCTGCCATCAAATCATACATGCAGTCAGTGGCAACAGACAGGAGACGCCGCCATCATTATGATGCAACGCAAAGAGGAGACTGGATGGCTTAAATGTATATATATATTTGTATATGATGAGTGGAAAAGCGTACACTGTGTGATGGCCAAAGGCTGTGGGCAGTGGCTGCTGACTGACTGACTGACTGAGATTGCTGTTGACACAATTCCGCACTGAGATCCTGCCTTCTGCTCTCACATTTTATTTGCCTGCCTGCAATTTATCGTAGCCCGATGCTGCCTTTACGTGCTGCTGCAGTTTTCCGATTTTTTTTTTAAGCTGTTTGCCAGCTGCAGTACCCAGTGCCATGAGCCATGGACTTCCGGGAGGGACTCGCGCCCCTGTAATGTGATTATCGAACTGTGTTTCTGCTGCCAAATGCCTGCTAAGGCAAAAATATAATTATTCAACTGATTGCACAATGCTTCCCCTACTCCTGATTTCATTTGCTTCTTTATGTGCACCAAATTTCCTATTAAACAGCCCGTAAAAAATAAAATCCTTGCCAAGAGATTTACGTTTCAATGTCTTGAACAATAAAAAGCACATGGAAGTGCGTGTGTGCTCCATAAGCTGGCTTAGCAGATTTGTTGACGAAATTAGCAGGGCCTGGGCCTGGGCCTGCGACGATATCTATTCTGTGACATTCTCAGCAGATTTATGCGGCACATAAAAGTTGCGGCTAGACGTGGGGGGCATTCACTTTATGGGCAGCTAATAAAAAAGGGGAGTACTAAAAAAGAAATCACTCGACTGATCATAATAGCGCAGCATTTAGGGCAGCCAACGTTAGACCTTTGTTTGCCTTTGGCCGTTTTATTTTGCTTGCCACAAATTAATGTTGTTATTCTTGTTGTTAATTCAAAGTCAACAGCACGAAGCTGCCGCCCTTTTGTGTTTGTTTGTCTAAGGTGGAGCGATGCTAAAGGTTTTTTTGTGGGCCTTTCAATTAACATCTCCAAAAAGGGTCAGCTGATGAGCTCACGTTCCCCCTGCCGCTTTCAGATGTGAGGAACAATTTATTGTATCGCTACTCGTTGCTTCTACTGGCACACTCGTTGCTGCCTCTCGCTGGTGTCCCTGCTCCCGCCTTTTCTCTGCTTTGCTGCCCGAGGCACTGCCACCAAAGTGCACTTTAATAAAGCTCTCCGGGCAATGCCAAGTCCGCGTTGAAGCACGCCACTTGGCACTCCCGCGCATTGCCTTGGAGCCTCGCTGACGATGTCTTGGCTTTTCCTTTCCACTCAACCACTCGTCGGCAGCGGCAACCTCTTGCAGCTTCATAATTGCCATGGAAATGCCAACTTTTCAGCAGCTGCTCACGCTCCTCCTCCCCACTGGCTGCACTTCTCCGTTGTTTTCAAATTACTTTTCGAAATATTCCCAGCCAGCAACCCACACCCCCCCCCCCCTCCGGACCACCACCTTTATTCTTTTCTTTTACAGTTGAATGGGCCTTCCCCCTGCCATAATTACAGGAGCGGCAGCGGCAGCAAAAATGATATTGCATTCCGTAATCACAAAATGTTGTGCGCAAAACTGTTTTGCATTTAAAATTGTTGCTTTAATCAAGCTCATTCTTTGAGCCAAACAAGACAAAAGGCCTTCTGATAGCAGCTATAGAAATGGGAAGTTGCCAGAGGGTGCCAGTCGGCAGGATCTGCCCCACAGGCACTCCTCTGCAGTCGCCCGCGACACAGCGAAAAAAAAGTACAAGTTTTTCCTCAACTCTCAAAGTTTGCTTGGCTCTTAACTGATTTTTATATTGTTGTTCATATTGTTCATACACACACACACACACACACACACATCGCATAGTTTGGCCAACTTTTGTGCTTGTGCACCAAAACCTTTTTAAGCATTTTCAACACTGGAAAGTGGATTTTTGGGCCGAAACTTTGTTTAAAAATTGCCATTAATTGCTTTAAGCTGTCGACTGTTTTAAAGAGCCAATCGATTGGCAATCAACATTTAATTTTGGGCTGCAACTGATGGAATGACAGGTTAGTCCTCAGGCAGGCTAATGCACACGAAAGGCAAGCCTAAACCAGGGGCAATGCCATGGGCAATAATCACAAAATTGAATGCATTTCACTTCGATACCAAGGCACAATATGGCAGCTCATGTTAAGTCATAGACAGATAAGTGCAAATGTAAATTAATGCATGAATGTATGGATGAATGCCATTCATTTTGCCCAGATACTTGCTTGGCCGAAGACAAACAGAAGACAGCCTCAGGCGAACATTTCTTAGGGAATAATACAGCTGCAAAATGCACATATAAGCTGTGTAAAGATGTATTCATGTACATATATTTATGTGTACAAATGTGCTGGCAACCTTCTGCTTTCAAGTGGAATGCTCCAAAGAGGTGCAGAATGCCAGTGCAGGCCCGCAGAAGCAGCTGTCAAAGTGCCTGCTGCTGCCAGGACTGCACTCTTGTCAAATATATTTTAGCATTTTAAATATTTACAACTGTCAGTTGGCATAAGGCAGAAGGCAGAAGAGAAGAGACACTCTGCCGGACAGCCCTGAGATTAGGCCAAGAACAAGCACCGAAGCCGCCGCCCCGGGCAGTCCTTAGAATTTATAATTGTAATTTAATTTGCATAAACTTAAGGCCCCAAACACATGTCCAAAATGTTAAATGAATCATTTTTATGGGCAGAGCCAAGGCCTGGGCGCCAGCACAGATTTCTAAACAATATATTTTAATATTTATGGCAAAACTTGGAAAGGCTTTAGACAACCATCAAAATAATCAACACAATGAGAGGATTACGCATAATAATGAAAATGTGCTGCCATGGAAAAGGCAAAAGGCAAGGCCAAAAGGCAGTTGACAGTTTTATTAAATTGTTCCGGACAATTACACGAGCAAGAACACGAACAAAGACAGTTGCCGGAATGGCTATAATAATTCCCTATAAATTACTTAAAGGCGTTTAAGCAAAAGGCAGAAATTGTGGCAGTTGCTTGAGTGGTTTAAGATATGGAAAATGATTAGGCAATTATTTGTGTGGCTTTAAAAAATGACTCAAAAGGAATGCCATTTAATATAAACTTCAATTATAATTGAATAATAATATTTATATTATTTTATATAAATTACCTTAAGGACTGCAAGCACAGGCAATTATTTTAGTGGTTTCAAAATTGATTGGTTCATTATTTGAGCGATTTAAAAAATGATTAAAAAATGATTAAAAAATGTTTAAAAAGGTTTTAATCACATGCAAAAATCCACTTTTTTTTTTTTTTTAATTTACATTTTTTGTGGCTTTTGCCACACCATAAATATCAATGGCATATCGGATCGGAATCGGACCAGCTGTCAACTAACATTATTTGTTTAGCCATGACGATGGACACAACAATTTATTTAGCATAAATTTGAGCACATAAATAAGCTGGCAGTAGGTAGATAAAAGGAGAGTCAACTGTTGCACAGCCTCTGGTGGAGCTGCAGAGTGTTCTGCGGTGCTGTGACAGACACAATGAGCAGAGTTATTGTTACTTTATGCTAATGCCGTGCGGCACATACAAAAGAAATTAGTAAAGTGTAAAAATGGAAGCAAAAGCTGGTTGGAAAGAGGAGCAGGCACACAACAAATTCCAACGGCGACTGTTGACAGTTATCCTGACACAAACACGCATTGTAATGTCTAACAAGAGGCTACACAATGGCAGCCGTGGCAGGGAGCCCGCAACAAACATCGCCTGTCACTCAACGGGCCTCAGAGTTACGCTGACAGTGCCCTCCCGCCGCACACTCGCTGTCTGTGTGTGTCCTTGCCAGTCGGACTTGTGTGTCATTTACATATTCACACTTGTGCGCTGCTTAGCACTGAACTTTGGCATCTTGTGGGTTATGAGTAGTACTACATGCAGCCCGTTCCCCTCCACTACCCGCACCATCGATAGCTACAAAATGGAATTAAGAAATTTTGTTTCTGCCGCTGACACATGGCACTGTCTTGCTTTTTTGCCTGCCACTAGGCAGTGCTTCCTGCTGTCTGCCTGCTGTAATGCAATTCGGCACATTAAATGCATGCCACACAAAAAAAAGAGTGCAAAATGACTGAACATAACGGATTTCGTTTTGATGCAATTTGCATTTAGCCAGAGCAAGCGCCTAACAGGCACTTAACAGAGGCGCTGTTAAAGCGCGCTGTTAACGCGCGCTGTTAACGCGCGCTGTTAACGCGCTCTCTCTCGCTCACTGTCCCTCTCTGTGTGCGCACCGCACAGCACCGTTCATTCATAAAAGGCCGCTAGCTTGCAGAGAGCAGAGAGAGAGAGCGCGCGAGCGTCAGGATTGAGTTGTTGCCTTGCAATAAATACAAAGGATCCAGCATCCGCAGCAACAGTGGATGTCGCAGCGTGCAACTTGCCGAGTCGTGAACGAGATTTAGTCAGTCATCGCTTAGCCGCCGTGTGTGACAGACCAGAGAGTACGTGGTCTTGCGTGGATTTCGAGTGTAAAGATTTAAAGCCGATTGAAGATTTGAGTGCATTCCATTAACTAACACAGAAATGTAATTCAAAGAAATTCACAGACAGAAATTGGAGCCTCTCCCTCTCTCTCTCTCTGTCTCACTCTCTGGGTGTTTATATTTTAATTAAAAGCAGACAGCACTTTGTTTAACAAAAGCTTCAGCAACAAGCAAACAAGTAAATAAATAATAAATAAACGCGTATTTGAATGTTTTAATAATTGGAACTCAATCATGGAAGTTGCACGGAAGTTGGCGCAAATTGAACATCAATTAAATATAAACTACGGCCAGGAGAGACTTTTATTATAGCTGCTGGATGCTGGCATAGCGCTAATTTCTCACACTTCAAGCGCAGCCCCAGTCCCCGGCAATGGACTTCCGCTGGCTGCTGGCTGCTGCCGGATGCTGCTCTGCCATTTCCACTTTCCATGTTTTTGTTTGCTCTTTTAGCCTGATTTTAGCCAATTTGCTCCTCTACCTCCACCTGTGCCCCACCTGTGCTGTTGGTGCTGCCAGCCGGGGCTTAGATTTTGTTTGTACTTTGACCCAAAAGAAAAGCAAGCAAAGAGCATTCGCTGTGTGGCTCTTTTCTTTATGATTAGTTAATGGGATTCAATTTCATTTGACTGCGGCTGAATCGCAGCTGCCTTACACTGATTACATAGGGCATACGTTCTGGCGGTGGGGGGCAGAAACACTTGTTGGTTGGTTGAATGCGGCACGTAGCCCAGGGAGGGGGGCGAATCACAGTTGTGCCATTACGAAGTTGGCAAAATGAATTCAATAGAGGCAGGCAGGCGGCAGCAGGCGGCCATAAATTGATTGTGGGGCGTGGGTTGAGTGGGTGGCAACAATTGCGCAAAGTAAATGCAAAACTTTCTCCCGCAGAAAGTGCCGCCCGACACGCATTACAAGTGCGAGCAGTGCTCGTATGCACAAGTGTGTGCACGAAGAGGCATCTAAGAATAACAAAGAAGACAAGTGGAGGGAGGATAAAAACAGCAACGGTTACGGTTACGGCTACGAATACGGATGTAAAGTGCCACAGCAAACATACAGTCAGAGAGGAAAAAGCAAACACAGCTGAAGGTTGTGCCCCTCGAAATTGATCCTGCACTGTGCATCGTGTACGTGAGTGTCTCTGTGGAAGAAATGTTGCAAAAAGCGAAAAGTAATGTGCTGCAACTAAAGTGAAATGCTAGCCGGTAAATGCGTTAAAAGTGAAATTCTTACTGGGATTATTAGAAGCGACAGTCAAGGAGTACAAAGGAGGAGCAACAGCAGCAGCAGCAGCAACAGCATGACAAACGGCAATTCCTTAGGACTCCGTCTACTGCTCTGGAGCAACATTTTCGGATTACTACTCAGCCGGAGTCAGGGTGAGTCTCAGACTGCTCCCTGACACACTCTGGCCTTGTCCTGCCGCTCATTGCTTGCCCTGAATTATGGAATGGAATCGCAGTCAGGCATTCAGCATCCATTCATTTTACAGCCTTATTAAATCTGTATTACATAAATCACAGCGCCCAAAACGTTTTTCGCTCAACGCTCCGCTCTGCGCTGAGTTTTTACGAGCATTTTGCTCGCTTTTAAGATTTTACATTTTACATTTAACATTTTATATTTGCCAGAACGAAGCACTCCCTGTCCTCGTCCCAACGCCCCACTTAGCCCGTTCGCCTTTCGCCACTTTTATGTCATAATGAGTGCAGCGCCTTTTGATTTAATGACAACTGCCAGAGAGCCATAAAGGCAGCCAAATACGTACATACATACTACATACATAAATACATAAAATATACATACATTTGCCTGCTTATAAGTGTCCCTCCCTTTATGTCTCTCGTGATTTATTTTGCTGCTTTTTATTTGTATGATAATTTATCCCCAGCAAAATATGCATAATAAAATGCCGCCGTTTATGGGGCCACCAAAAATGTAATCCATAAAGCTGGGGCAACAGCTTGCCAATCATCACAGCTTACACATACATACACACTAACTACATGCATGTAATTCTACATGACAGTGAGGAGTTGTGGGCTTTATTTTGCAATTTGTTCTTGGGCTTCCCGCAGCTTTGCCCTTCGAGTATTTAGATGAGCCGAGCGACGACTTCAACTATGACCTGGACACGGCCCAATCCCAAGCGAAATACGACGCGCATCTGCTCTCGCAGCAAATTCTCAGCGATGCTGAGCTGCTACAGCAAACAGCAGGCACTGGAACCGCCACCCACACGTTGAGAGCTCAGAGCTCAGGGCTTGCCACCGGCTCAGTTGAGGATTTGGAGCCGCACAGCCGTGCCGCTGCCTGCAACAGCAATGGCCACAAGTACACGCATGGACAAAAGGTAAGAAAAAGGAAATGTAAAGGAAAACGTAGAGAATGAAAATTGAAAATGGAATTGCCCGGACAGCCACTTCATTCCCCCAAAAGTTTACCTTGTGCTAAATGAAGTGTGCTCTTGGGTCTTGAGCATCTTCAATTAGCATCCAACACTTGAGAGTTGTCGTTTGGAATTTGCTGACTCGGTTGGCTCTCTACTGCCACATGATTGATGGCTGCTGGCGGACCATTTACACATTTCAGACACTCTTTTCAACACTTTCTTACACACTTTTCCAACACTCTTTCTGCCCTTAACCTCACTCAACCTCTCTTTCTTTTGACGCTCGTTTAGGTGCCTCGGGAGGATGCCTGCGAGGTCTGCCTCTGCATGGATGGCGAGATCTTCTGCTGGTGGGAGCGTTGCGGTTAGTTTCTTGCCTCCCCCCCGCCCATTATGTGCCTTGAATTATGTAATAAGAAACTTTTGCAACTCTTTCACAGATAGGGCAAATGCAAATAAGGTGAAGGAAGCAACGGCCGCAGCAAGCAGCGACAATGAGAAAGCCAAAGGCGCTGGCTTCGATGCTGGTGTTGTCCCTGCTGTTGGTGACTATTCCGATCCATACCGCCATGAGAGCAGCACGAGAAAGTCAACAAAAGTGCACAAAATGGCGGGAAAAGTTGGCAAGCGGCGCAAGCATCGCGCAAGAAATCAAAAGAATTTTAATGACTATGAAGTTTATGAGAGCCACAAGCAGCAGGCAAAGGATTATAAAAAGTCTGGCATAAAGCAGGAGGAGGAGCAGCAGCAGCAGCAGCAGCAGCTACAAAAACAAAAGACTGGCGCTGCCAGCAACTACAATATAATGAAGCAACACAAACACGAGCAGCAGCAGCAGAAGTTGGAGGAGGAACAGCATCAAGAGGAGGAGCAACATCAGGGGCAGGACCAGGGGCAGCAGCATGCCCATAATCTCGTGGCTTTGTCAGTTAATCAAGCGGCAGCCAAGGATATGCATTATCCACAACCAGCAACAACCAACACGCCCACGCAGCAACAACAGCCGGAACATCCACACCACACCCATCCACATCGTCCACCCGCGCACTCGTCCAGCAAGATCTTAAATTTTCCCGAAAACTTGCCGGCGTTACTTTATTACGACTACAAAACGGAGGAGCATGAACATCATCAGCATCAGCATCATCAGCAGCACTTGCTGCACGAAAAGCAACGCTTGCAACATCAACAAGAGGCGTTGGCACGACAAAAGTCACTGCCAGTAGGGGCAGGGACAGAGACAGAGACAACGGCAGTGGCAGTGGCAGTGGCAGGCGTTGAACTCCATACCGACTTGGGCGTTGATAAAAACTTTGATGAGGCGGAAACCGACAGCGATATTTTGCCAGAGCCGCCAACAAAGCGACCCAAGGAGGCAGACACACAATGGACAACGAGTAGCAGCTCCAGCTCCAGCTCCAGCTCCAGCTCCAGCTCCACGACCAAGGCGTTGATGACATCCACAACGGCGAGGACACCAACCACGACAGCGACGACAAGAACAAATGACTGGGCCACGAGCAGACTGTCTAAGGACACAGCTGCAGCCCCAAATGTGAGTGCCGGAGAAGCAAGGACTCTTCCGCTTGACTGTACCTTTTTGTGTACTTTTTTGTGCTGTGTAGCCTTAAGAGGCGTCCAGTCTCAGACCAATTAGGATTTGGGGCCAGGGCAGTTCATTGGTTTACCCCACGAACAAGCCTTCGTGCGCTTCGTGTCCACTGAGCCTGAAACTTGCTCTTTTTATTTCAAGCTTGACTTGGCTTTTTATTTACCATGCAGTCGACTTGAATTAACAATATGTTTTTGCTTTTTTACCGCAGCCTGGTAGAAATGCTGGCCAGGAGCTGGACGATGCATTTCATCGTTGGCTGACATCGACCGAGCTGAATGCTGACAGCACAAACACGCCGGACGATGCCTCGGAGCAGGAAACGGCAGCATCGACAATAATCGATGATGTTGCCATCAGAAACAAGAGTGACAGCGCCAACAGGGCTGCCAGTAGGGGGAGTGGCAACAGCAAAGACAATGCCAGAACCAGCAGCAACAACAGCAACAACAACGTGGCCGATGCTGTCTTCTTCCGCAGTTCGTACAATGATTACAGCAGCGAATTCAATGGGAGCGTTGTCAACATTGACATTACACTAACTGCAGTTGATGTGCATCCACGACAGCAGCAGGAACAGCAGCAAACGGATTTAATTGCAAATGGAAACAGCACGGCGGTGGCAATGCCCGAAACAACAGCAGGCGACGGAACGGCGACAACAATGGGCCCGCAGGCGAATGACAAGGGGAGCCCCACAAGCAGCAGCCGCACCAACAATCAGGATCAACATCAGGCGAGTGCCAGCAGCAGCAGAAGCAGCAGCAGGAGCCCAGTGGTGCCACCGTATACGCTGACAACGATAATAACAACAACGCCGGCGCCGTCACCAGAGCGTATGTGTAATGTTTTGGGTAAGCAAAAGACAACGAGGAGTTACCCGTAGACTATTGCTAACGAAATCAGCACACCAATTCCACTGTTAGTCCGTTACTCTCACTGTTATTCCCCACTGTTGCTGTCCCCACTTCTACTCGCCCTCACAATTGCTCACTTCCTAAACCCATTTGCTGCTGCCGCACATTCGATTGCAAACTCAAACTCAAATCCATTCCATTCCTTTATTTGCTGTTTGTTGCAGGCAAACTATATAAAATTGGCGACATTCTGCCGCAGGATACGGGCAACTGTCTGCAGTGCATTTGCACGGATGCGGTGACGCCCGATGAGATGCCAAGCGTCACCTGCAGCCCACACAATTGTCCGCCTTTGGTGCTGCCGGATCTATTCGATGCGACTGGTTACTGAGGTTACGGTCTGGTGCTGTAAGCTTCCGGTTCACCGGGGAAATGGCAGCAATAACGGGAATAACGATTGAGGCAAATACCCTAAAATTCGATTGAACAAAACCGTAAATTTCTACTAATAAAAACCGTTGAATTCGATCGATAAAAACAGTGAAAATTCGATTGATCAGAACCGTAAACTTCAATTGATCAAAAGCCAAATTATCGTAAGAAATTCGATTGTAAAAGAGAAAGTAGCGTAGCAGTTCTGCAGTCGAAAAGTCTCTCAAACTAAACTCAAGCATATAAAATGTATGGATTTCAATGTAAAGCCCTCCCTAAACACGAGAGTTGCTCCACAGGCGCTCTCTCGAACTATAACACATAAACATATATCTAAATGAAACGATTATATATCAAACGATCAACCAAAAGAGAGAGAGAGAGAGAGATAGAGAGATCCATCGGGATGTAGTTTAGTTTGTAAGCTGAATATTTATGCATTTTATAAGAATGCGAAGTATCTCTCTCCACCCTTAAACAGATCAAAACACCAAACCTACCAACCCAACCATTGATGTATACAGCAGTAGAAATTTTAAAGAATTTATAGATGTACTTTCAGCAGAAATATATACACCACATACTATACATACTATATATGAAGCTATAACTATACGTATCTACACCTATATCTATCTACATATGTATAACTACATGCATGTCTGTCTGTTACGAACTTTGCACACAAACAAGCAAAACATTTCATTTCAGGACTGAAACAATGGAAGTGCATGGATTTTTTAACATATAACATTTAAAGCTGGAAGGCAACTAAAAAACAACTCAAAATCTATAACGAACACAAAAACCCACAACTGAGGCAACTATAAAAATCTCTAACGAAAAAAACTGAACAATGACAAATAATGAATTGTGTGTAATATTTTAATTGAAATGTTAAACAACAAAAATCTGCACATTGTATAACTTATTTGCATGCGAGTTTCGGTTTGGTTACTTTTTTCAGCAGCTTCCTTTAGGCATTTAAATTTATATATACGTAAAGGGGAAAAGCGAAAACCACAAAGTAAATATGGAAATTGTTTTAACACAGCTGAAACGAGCGTAAAGAACGACACCATATCGAGAGTAAAACTAAAAACAAAAAGAAAGCCAAAATAGATGTATGCATGTGCGAAATATATATACGAATTATATGTACGATTAAATATATTCATGTGTGAGTGAATGCGAATTTGTAAACATGTTTTTTCGTTTCACATTCATTTCAAAGCAATTTTAGGCGTGATAACCAACGAATCGTTTAGTTCGAAGCGAGAGTTAAATTAAGTGAGCGAAAAACTATACTTAAAAAGTAGTGAGCAAAATAAATTGGGAATAGGAATAAAGAGCGAATCGAATATAAATAAAATGCGATCTTTGAATATAAATTAAGTGCGAGTCAAGGGCAAACGCTCGACCAGCTCAAGACCTTGGAAATATCTGAAAAATCAAACTGCAAATCAAATTAAAAATATACGTACTTACATATACATAAACATAAACATAAACATAAACCTACAACTACACATGCATAAATATTTAATATTGATGTTGCCCCCACAGAAAGAAACAAAAGTTGAACCTTGGGATAAAGCACTTAAATCTACAACTACAACTACATCTACATCTATGTATGGTATTTGTGTGTAACGTAAATGTAACTATGGCTAAAGCTCTCAACTACTAAAAGACACAAAAAGATAAACACAAAGATACACAGATACACTGTGTGTGCATTGAAATTGATTTTGTGTGTGTTTTGAATCAAATTGAAATCCAATTGACGTGAATAAAACTGTAAAACCCCAGCTAAGGATTTATGCGAATTATTTGAACCTTTTAGGAGGGGGTAGGGACCGGCACTAAGCCTCTCGCAAAGGTAAGTAATCTGTTATATTAATGCCCAATTAATTTATACCAACTAAATACTGTCTGCACATATGCGTATCCATGACAAATTCAATTTCATTCACTCTCGCTGTCCGACTCGAAGCCAGAATCGTCATCCAGTTCGTGCTGCAGCGCAAGGGGCTGAAATCCTGGATGTGGCAGTTGCATGAGTACCGCTGGCTGTCGTGGCACTTGTAGCTGCACCATTGCCGCAATCGCTAGATGTTCCTGCTCTGCGCGCAGATTCATGCGTTGTCGCGCCTCCAGATCCCGCGTCAGCTGCATCGACAGCTGATTGTCCCCACTGCCGTCCATGGTCGGTGCTCGTTGCGTTTCGAAAAGGTTTTTAATTTGCTTAAATTGATCAATTTACAACGAATTTTTATTTGTTGTTGTTTAATTTTTGTGTAAATTTTGACTTTGTCTGAATCAACGTTTCGTTCGAACTGAAAACAAAACTAGTTTGGGGCGGGGCTGCTGGCTGACAGTACTCGAAAATACAATACGACGACGGAAATTGCCAAACGCAGATTGCTGCTGCTGCTGCTGCTGCTGCTTCTACTCTGGTCTCATATTGTTCAATAAAACGGGAAACCCACTCACTCATATTTGGGTTTTATTAGTTTCTCTAAGGGTGTGAGGGCTTGGTGTGTGGGCCAGTTGGCAATCTGCTAGTGGCAGTGGCTGTGGCAACCACAGCTCTCCAGCTGTGCATGTGTAAGCGGAAACGGAACTACTCGTACCCCGCCATGCCCAGCGAGTTGACTGACCGCATAAAGCCATTTTGGCATTTTGGGCCAGACCCCCACAGTCGCTCTCCCCTTCCGCAGCGGGGACTTTTGCCTCCAAAGCAGGCCACACAATACTTTTGCTGTCAATTTGCGATAGCGGCCAGCTTTATTTGAAAATACGAGTTACGAGCTACGAGTGGCGAGTAGCGAGTAGCGAGGGGGTGTGTTGTGGCCAGCGTTGACCCGCTTGACGACAGCTGGGCAGTTTGTGGCAGTTGTGGCAGTTGGTCAGTGGCTTCGGTGACTCCTCATGCCTGTTGTTGGCGTGTGAAATTGAATATTTACAGCAGGAGTTTTACCGCTTGAGCAGCGCCTGCTATGGCCCCCAGCGTCATGCAGTTCCGATGGGAAATGGCAACCAAAGTACATGCAAAAGGCAACCCAACTCAGTTGGGTTTTGCCATTCGCCATTCAGACTTTAAACCGCATTTATGTACTTGGCCCCCGAGCTCATAGTCCCTGGCATTATTATTATTATTATTAATATGGCCAGAGGCACTCTCTTTTTTTTTGCTGCCGAAGGTCTTTGCTAATTAAATTCCGCGCAAACACATACATACAGACATGAACGAGTGTGTAGATGTGTGTGTAAAAAATACTATATGGAAATTGACTGCGCCGGCGGGGGCATGGCTGGGTGTCGTTGGAATCGCGCATTATGCACATTTTTAATTACGCTGCACATTTGCATTTGAATTGCGCATTTTACAGGCTGATAGTTTGGAATAAAGGCAACAGTTGAGAGCAGGGGAGGGGCTAAAGTCAGAGCAAGAGCTAGGAGTCGCGGCACACAGGCGAGTGCTTGGTACAGTCCTGTTCCTACTCGTTCCTGTTCTCTTACTCGCTCTCGCTCTCGCTCTCGCTTATTTTTTTCTACTGATTTGCGGAATGTGTAATTTTCAAGTTGACATCTTTTGTCCCAAACCAGTGACCTCGTTGCACACAGGAGCACTATAATGTAAGCTCATTGCTGCCTCAAGCGGCTCCATAGCATACTTTGGCGGGCATTCGCCACAAAGGCTTTGCAATGGCATGGCATGGCATGACATCTCTCCCCCGCGCAGTTGCCAGTTTGAAGCAGCAGCAAACAGAAAGGGAAAACGGCAAAAAAAAATCAGAGAGAAAGTTGCAAAAAACTAAAGCATATCGCGTTCCATTTTTTATGTTTTGCGTTATGCCTGCCGGCCATTAGTGTTCGTTGGAGAACTGTTTCCTGGTGTTCGATTTCTTAGCTCAGACAGCAGTAACTTGCAGCAACTTGGAGTTCTGTTCTGGCGCTTTTCATGCCTTAAATTTTAGCTAGAACTAGCTCCACGCTGACTCCAGCTACCCATTCGAACCCAAAACGTGCTGCAAAAAAGGGTTGCGCACCCACGGCCTGCCCACCTTCTGCCACGTCGTTTAAGCCATTTTTAATGACAGGCTCTGATAGCTGCCTGCCCCGCCTGACAGCGGCTAATGATGGCGGCTGGCCAGAGTTTTGTGGCTTTTGCGGATTAAAATTGAAAATGCTGCAACACAAAAACTACATAAAACTTGCCGCTTGCCTCGCTAGAACGTGTGTCATGAGGCCAGGTGCCACATTAATTAGTGTCAACACACACACACACACACACACACACATGGATATCAAATGAAGATTTTGCTTGCGGCAAGCGGTTTAATTTCGCTAAGATGTGTCGCCAAGCAATTTGGGTCAACATGACACGATGTGTAAATTATATTCCAGAATGCAACAGCGCCAGGGGGTGGAGGGAGGGGGGCAACAACTTGAGAAAATGGAACATGAAGCTGCTTGGGGGAGGTGATGTGTTGAGGGCTTTGTTTGATTGTTTTGCTCCCGCTTTGAGTTATTTTGCATTCTAATTAAGAAACTGAATTATTAAGCATAAGTAGGAGCTGCAGGCAATTGACTCTACTGGGATAATTATTATGATGATATTAGCAGCCATAAAGCTTTGATAGAATGCCAAGGGGAAGCATTAGTTATTCAATGGGGTTCGGGTTCAGGCACACACACACAGACAAACAGGTGAGGTCTCCCACGGCAGCCCTCATGCTCATTTATAAGCATTTATCATTCATATGGCAGTCGTGTGTCTCGCTTCGGCCTTGAGCAGGAATTTCACAAATGCCTAAAACCGCCTCTCATTGTTCCCACAACTTAGGCACACACAAGCCCACAGTTCCCTCTCTCTCACTCGATCCGCTCTCAGCAGTTGCCACCCCCACAGTTCCCACTCCCACTATTCCCACTCTCTCACTCGATCCGCTCTCAGCAGTTGCCACTCCCACTGTTCCCACTCTCAGCAGTTCACGCTCCCACTCGTTCCCCTCTCCACAGCTCGCTCTCGCTCTCCCTGTCCCTCTCGCTCTCCCTCTCGCTCTTTCTGTTACCTCAGGCCGAACGGCGCAGAACGGAACAGCTGGCAAACCGAGCGTCGAGCACACAAATTAATCTTCTTTTGCCGGCACCCACACACACACACACACACATGGCAGCCGGAGGCCAGACTTGAGTTTTCCATTTAAAAACAGCTCCTAAAATAGTTTTAGGGCTACAAACGTACAAAGGAGCCATATGTACTTATGATCTTAGCATACGTAAATTAGGTACGAGACGGGAGCACAAAATGTATGCCAAAGTTTGCTTGTACAGAAGACTAAAAACAATCAATTAAGTTAGTTCTTAGCTAAGTTTGCCACAAAGCAAGGAGTAAAGCGCATTTAAAAGTGTAAAATCAACTTAAAACTCTAGTAATAAAATGTACAATAATTTCTGCATAATTTGAAGCATTCTCTGTTAAGTTTTGTGCGCCTTTCGGGCGAAGTTTGAAGTGACTTTTGGCCAGCAGAGCACCCAAAATTGTGGTTCCTTTGCCACTCTGTCTGCCCTCCGTCTTTATAGAGTATTTGCAAAGTGTCGCCAGCTCTCATCTTCCTCCTTTTGGTTTCTTTAATTACGCACAGCAATTATGTGCTTTAGTTTAACTTGCCTTCTGTTAGTTTGTTGATTTTTGCCATTGAAGCCCTCGGGCCAAGCTGCAGTTTTGGCATGTCAAAAATAACATCTAGCTGAAAGCTGAAATATATTTAAAGTTGGATACAAAAGTGGCAGGCAGTTGGGCGAACAAATGAGCAAATTGTGTAATTTTCTAGCTAATAGCTCTTGACCTGGCATCGACACACAGCCGCGGGTCACCCCTCTAGCTACTCCCTTTCTGTTTTGTTCTGTTGCTCTCTCTCTCTCTCTCTCCCTCTCTCTTTTGCTTCTTCCCCTTTGTGTATGTTGCACACATTCCATGGCGTCCCCAAAAGGTTGTGGCAGCATTTTATGCGAATTTTGTTTCGCGCAAAGTTGTAAGCCTCTAAAACTTTTAATACAGTGCCCGCCAATTGTTGGCCTCCCCCCCCCCGCACAACCGTAACAAGCTTTTAGGGTGTACACACATTAAGCCTTTTATTTGCACACTCTGGCGTCTCTGGCTTCCCCCTTTATGAGAAAGGGTTTCCCACCGGCAGAGGTAAAAGTTTTCTGCATACAAGGCGCTCATGTCTTGGGTCTTGGCTGCCACCTGCTCCTACTTCTGCACTTGCTACTCGCTTTTTTCTACACTTTCTCCTTGCCTTCTTCACTTCCTCTGGCTCTCGCTCTAGCAACAACGACAGCAGAGTGTAGTGGAGTGCGGCGTGCCCGAAAACAAATGAGGGAAAATATGCTTCAATAACAAAACACTCAACACTCCAACAAAGAGCGGGTAAAGAGCTGCCGGAAAGCTGCTGGAAAGCAGGT